AGGGAGATGAGTGGGATGACTTCTAGATAGAAATAATGGATGACATCTAGGCAGATGAGTTAGATGACATCTTGGTAGATGGTAGGGATGACATCTAGGGAGATGAGTGGGATGGGTGGGATGACATCTAGGAAGATTAGTGGGATGACATCTAGGGAGTTGGGTGGGATGACATCTAGATAGAAATAATGGATGACATCTAGGGAGATGAGTTAGATGACATCTAGGTAGATGGTAGGGATGACATCTAGGGAGATGGGTGGGATGGGTGGGATGACATCTAGGGAGATAGTTGGGTTACATCTAGACAGAGATGACAGTAGAGATGACAGCTAGAAAGAAAAGGAAAAACATCTTGATAGAAAGTAGGGATGACATCTAAGTAGATGGGTGGGATTACATTTACGTAGGTGTGTGAGATGACAGAGGTAGACGTTTCAGATGACATCTGACCAGATTGGTGTGATGTCATCTAGGTAGGTAGGTACGGTGACATCTATGTAGATGGGTGTGATAATAACTAGATAGATAGTTAAAATTACTTCTAGATATATGAGTTGATTGACATCTAGCGAGATCAATATGATGACATTGAGGGAAATGACCACATGCTATTTGATAATACTAATTGTGTGTACAGAAATACATAAACTTATGCGTGTAGACTGTGCTATAGCATGAAAGAGAGAACGTTTTAGAGTAGAGCCATTCTGTTCGGTTTTCATCCACATCCATCGCACCTCGTCCATCGTACCTCATCCATTGTACCTCATACATCGCCTCATCCATCACCTCATCCATCGCCTCATCCATCGCCTCATCCACCGCACCTCGTCCATCGCCTTCTCCAGCATCAGCAAAGATCCCCCCTCCCCTTATGCATACTTCAGTAACCATACTTTATTCTAAGCCAAAATTGTTCAAGTTAAGTTACCTTTCGAAGCTGACGTCCCATGGGGTATGTGAAGTAGAGTTCACAGATTTTAAAAGTTGCAGTTTGTATAAGAGAGGGAGAAACAGAGAGACAGACAGTGAGAGAGAGTGACAGTTAGAGAGACAGAGAGACAGTGTGAAAAAAAAAGAAAGAGAAAACAGAAAAGGCAACGATTTCATTACACCCGTATTGGTAGCTTGCATTTAGCATGGTAACTTGCATTTAGCAACGAAACGTGACGGGAGCGCCCATATGGGTCATATATTAAAAACCTTTTGATGTTAAATACGTAGTTAAACGTATTGCAACAGCTGACATCGGACACATCTATTACACCTTTTTTGAAATTCTTACTTTTCAACGTATGGACAGATAGAAAACTAGAGAGAATTTTAAAAATAGAGAAATAGAGAGATAGACGCGTGATATTATGACGACAGTGTCTAGTCAGATTGCTCTTGTGTGTTTATAAAAAGTTGAATAAACACCAACAATTGGAGCGGCAAATTAATTTAAATTGTGTCATCACTCTTGGAGAAATTGTTTAGCTTAAATATTAAATTCACGTTTATGTAAATAATACATTTACATTACGTTTGCATGTGGTCAATGAGAATTTGCTCTAGAACATATCAATCAATTTTTTTTTTAAATTCTACCGTGATTGTACTTTTTACAACAGTATATTAATTTTTACGTCAATATAATATCGAAAATAAAGTTGGCTATTTTCTTGGAAAATGATTTCAGAACTTTTCGTAAATTTAGCACTTAAATCAGTACTTTTTTTTTGGGGGGATGGAAAAATAATGAGGTAAATATTCAGCCCGTAATATCAATGAGTAGATTAAAGTTTGTTTAACCCTGTTTATTCATGTTTCTAAACATTAAAGAGATAAATCAAATAAAACCTTATACAAATTTTTATTAAAATGTATTACTTTTATAACAGAGTTACATACTGAAAGTGAAATATAGATATCGAGCAAACAGGTAGATACACTGAGGTGAAATAATCAAACAGCTAGAGGCTAGTAGGCAACCTTCAAACCCCAGCTGATTTGGCAGCCACCCCATCTGTTGTCTGTGTGGTCAAGGTACCAATCCGTTCTATTGGGTAATTTCCGTTGACCGGAAGTAGTAATTTACACTATTTTCGATTTCTCAAAAAAAAAAACGCATGTGTATTTATAAAGTACTAAAAATATATACCGCACATACTGACTGACCAAGTCTATTAAACCAATTATAATTGCTATAGATTCAACCTTAGTCATGAAAGCTCTAGTTGTTCGGCTGTTTTGGATGGACAATTTTTCCTTGCATAATAACGACTCCGCGTTATTAACTGACGCTAGCTTACAGAGACATCTGTTACATTACTGTATAGATTTGTGTATGTTTTGTACATTTTGCCGATTGTCATTGTTAATTATTATTATTTATTTTTTTGGGTGTTTTTTTTTAGCATTTTACTTTTTTATTTTTATTTTAAGATTATATGTATGTAAATGAAGTTGAATGATGACAAGTGCAATGAAATAAAAATAGCAACAAATGGAACCCAGTAGTTTCGCTTAAGAAGTTTTGCAAATAAGATTTTAGGCTATGTTTTAATCTAAATCTCTTTAATTTAATTTCGCCACTCTCTACCGAAAGTTTCAAGTGTCCCCCCCCCCCCCAAGGAAAAATGGCGGAAAGAAACACTGCATCTGTGTGTTCGCGTGAGTTGTAATGTGTTGTATGTGTATGCGTGTGTGTACGACCATATCCAGCCCACACGTTTCTGTGCAATAAAATGCACACTCAACTTCTGTGCAGGCAAATCATTCCTCTTCATTAAGCGATCGGCTTTAACCTTGAAGAAAGTAGATCGTTGTGAGGAGGATTGCCTCAATGGACTGGATCAAAAGCATACGATACCTGGTCACCCTCTTTTATCTGTATAAAACACATCGTGTAAACACAATATGTTACCAAAACACAAGTATGACTGTGGTCAGTATTTGGTCAAGGGTCAGTGTGTCTGTGCGTCTGTGTGTCTAGAGTATGTGTATCTGTCTGTCTTTCTCTTTGTCCGTCAGTGTTTCTGAATGTCAGTAGCGTTGCTAGGTCGGGTGTCGCTTGGTGCGGCACCTTATGGTGTCACCCCCCCCCCCCCCCCCTTTTTTTGTAAATTTTGCAGTTGGTAAAAGCTTTTAAGTGTTCACATTGATGTTTACCTATAGTCGGTATAGCATTGTTTTCTCTATAGTTTGTGTGTTTTGGTATAACCACCCACCCCTTGTCGTGATCACCACTATGTACTAAAATACATTTTAAATCTAACCATTCAAAGAACTGGCAAAATACATATTTATTCTATAAAACTTGCAATTTATTATGTCTTGGTGTCACCCCTTAATTGGTGTCAACCGGTGCTGTCCGCACCCCCCGCCCCCGCCTCGCCTCTGCTGTGTGTCATTATGCCTCTGTGTCTAACTTGTCTGTGTTTCTTTGTGCCTGTGATTCTGTGTGTCTAGAGTATGTGTATCCGTCTGTATTTCTGTGTGTCGGTACCTTTCTGTGTCTAGGTTGTGTGTGTGTGTGTCTGTGTTTCTTTGTGCCTGTGTTTTTCCGTGTGTCTACTTTATGTTTTTCAGTATGTCTGTATGTCTGTCGCCCTTTCTGTCTGTCTGCTTGCAAAGAAAACTGCCCTACAAAACAAACAGTTCCCAAAATCATCTCTAAAAATAAACCAACAGTTTATATAGGACAATGGATTTTTCTAGGGTTATCGCTGTTTAATTGTTTTGTTTGTTTCTTTATTTGAGTATGTAATCCCTTAGTTATTGTTTAGGATCTGTGGGCAGTGTTATGATGTGAGTTACTTGGATAGGGTCTATGCTTGCATGCATACGTACACATACAACGAAGATCCAATAGAGAGTACAGAACGGCGTTGCTATATTTCCATATTTTATTATGTACAATACACACGGCTACATTGACGACAGACAGGACGACGACTTCTACAACCTCACGCGACAACAACAAGACCCAGACTGACTTCAGCTACTTTCCTAACATCCAAAACATACTCTCATACGTCACATCCTTATTTACTTTGTCACGCATTCAGAATCTTTTATTAATCCCACTACACCAGGGGTCGGCAACCTTTTGGGACAGAAGAGCCAAAAGTTACTATTTACCATATATATATATATATATATATATATATATATATATATATATATATATATATATATATATATATATATATATATATATATATATATATATACATATATATATACATTTAAAATAAATAGCTTAAAATATGAAATAATATTTATTCATATAAAAACATACACATGTTTCGCACAAAACATTAAAGTAGTTTAGCAAGCTCTGCTCGAAATTAGAAACTTAACATTGTTATTAGATCAAAATCTTTAATTACCGAGTATTGCAGACTAATATTTTTATGAGTTTTAAAAATAAATTAATATAATTATTAATATTTGTGCATGGAGCTGAAGAGCCGCATATTGACATCAAAAGAGCCGCATGCGGCTCGCGAGTTTGCCGACCCCTGCTCTACACACATACTCTCAAACCATCAACATCTTAATTAAACACATTTAACTACAAACATAGGCCTACTCTGAAGCTTATTCAATACACCAAATTCCATTCACAACAGTCAACACAATCGTTTTTCTCATAATTGTCCACTATCTATCTGAGTCTTCTGCTGCTCTGTGGAGTTCTGCAAATGGCTGCCCAATCCAGTCATTGATTTCATACATCCAGTGACGTCTCTGCCTTCCCCTTCTTCTCTCTACTGGCACAATCCCCTGCAGTATTGTTATGGGTTGACCTTTGAGTGTAATATATAAATACTCATCATATTTCTTCTTCTCTACCAATATACATGGACTCAAGTGAATTTTATTATAAACATATTTATATATTTGTTATTATGACACCATTTTGGTTTTCTATGCTATTGCGCTTTGCCGAATTTCCTGTTTCTATCGCAATAAAAAAAATGCGGACATTTTGTCAAATGAACGGATGTGATAGCTACAACAGCAACTGCTCCTAAGCTATGTCAACACATTTCGATTTTCTTTGTGTTGAAAAATAGAAAAGTGAAAGGTTTTTGTTATTTTAATTAGATCTATATATTTATTAAACATTTCTATCCAATTAAGAACGAAGTAGAAGATACATTTCTATTGATTTTTTAAAAATATCCAAATAACATTATAGATCTAGTTGTTACTAATTAATATTTCAATTATATTTTATTAATTAATTAGTCTGTTAGTAGCTAAGTATTAAGCAATAATTTTAAAAGGCAAATAGATCTACATTCTAGTTCTAGATCTAGATCTATAGTGTTTTAAATAGCCAAACCGCTTAAGCTGCAGTAGTTCCCTTCATGTTTAATGGAATATTGGTCGTATACAGCTCTCTACACAACCTTCACCTGGCTACAGTAGCGTTGCGAGGGGGGGGGGACATATGTCCCCGGGTGCCGACCTTAGGGGGCGCCAAAATGGGTTGGAAAAATAAATTGAAAGGTTTAGGGGGGTGCAAATCAAAAGTTTGAGGGGGGGGGTGGGTGCAAATGGAAATCTCGAGGGGGGGGGGTGCAAATCGAAAGTTTGAGGGGGGGGGGGGGGAAGGGTCGCTACGCCTCTGCCTGGCTATGTTATGGCTCTACTAGATATGAGCCAGCTCGTCTGCCCTATGGCTCTACAACATATAAGCCAGCTGGTGTATGTCTTATGGCTCTACTACATATGAGCCAGTGTGTCTGCCTTATGGCTCTACTACATATGAGCCAGTGTGTCTGCCTTATGGCTCTACTACATATGAGCCAGCTTGTCTGCCTTATGGCTCTACTACATATGAGCCATCTTGTCTGCCTTATGACTCTAATATATATGTCAGCTTGTGTCTGCCTTATGGCTCTACTACATATGAGCCAGCTTGTGTCTGCCTTATGGCTCTACTACATATGAGCCAGATTGCGTCTGTCTTATGGCTCTACTAAGTATGTCAGCTTGTGTCTGCCTTATGGCTCTACTACATATGAGCCAGATTGCGTCTGTCTTATGGCTCTACTACATATGTCAGCTTGTGTCTGCCTTATGGCTCTACTACATATGAGCCAGCTTGTGTCTGCCTTATGGCTCTACTACATATGAGCCAGATTGCGTCTGTCTTATGGCTCTACTACAACATGTCAGCTTGTGTCTGCCTTATGGCTCCACTAAATATGAGCCAGATTGTCTGCCTTATGGTTCTACTACATATGAGCCAGCCTATGTCTGCCTTAGGTTATAGTCTCCCCTACCTATGCCTCTGCTAAACTCTAACCTTAAAAAAAACCACTGAATTTCTATGTACCATGAGAATAATTTTAATTTATCTATTTTGACAGGTTGAGCAGTCCCGGAGATGTCACAGCTGACCACGTCACGTGTCCTACGGCCACGCTTGACGAGAGACGTGCCGACAGCTGCGTCATGTGACTTTACAGTCGTGGTTGACGGCACCGAGTTTAGAAGCCAACGACAACTATTAAGCTCAGTCTCTACATACTTTGAGGCCATGTTTCGCAGCGACATGAAGGAGACGCTGGAAGGACGCGTGGAGCTGACAGACATGCGCAGTGAGACCTTCGCTACAATTTTAAACTTCATCCACAAGAGAGTTCCTGGTCTGAAGCCATCCAACATTGATGATGTATGGGAGGCGGCAAACCGTCTGGACATAGGGATTTATCTGCAAGTATGTGAGACATATGTTATCGAGAGCTTGTCTCTTGATAATTTTTCATATATCTATCAACAAGCCGTTGCTTTTAATTCAAAAAACGTGAAAGACGGCTTGATATATTTCATGAAGCGAAACTATGCCCATATTTATCAGACGGAAGTTTTCCTGAATTTTTCATTTCCTATTATCTTGTCTTTTGTTGAAGACGAGGAACTGAACGTTAAGACGGAAGATTTAGTTCTGGACGGGATATCATGCTGGGTTTCGCATGGAAGACAAAGTACTGGTCTGTCTCTTGTCCTAAGCTGCAACGACGAGTTGGGAAAACTGGTAGAGGGTGGGTGCCGGGATTGTGACGTCACAGCTGGTGGAGGGACTGGTGACGTCACTACCGGTGGAGAGACGGGTGACGTCACTACCGATGGAAAGACGGATGACGTCACTACCGGTGGAGAGACGGATGACGTCACAACCGGCGGAGAGACGGTGGAGTCGGTAACCGAAGTACAGTCTGGAGAAAATCCAACATCTGACAATTCTCCCGACCCGATCAATGCTGACCCCACAGACGACAGAAGAAAATATCTCGCCAAACTATTGTCCAGCGCTAAGATCATTTTAGCCAGTCGCAGATGCTTGGAGGCCTTACTGACTCACCCACACATACGCACCTGCCCTGATGCCTGCGATGTCGTGCACGAAGCCTTGAAGTTCAAGGTCGGCGTCTACCCTTACGAAAGTTCCCTGATGATCCCGTACAGGAAGTCTTGTGGGAAAAGAAATGTAATGGCACGTATGGGTGTGTGCAGTCTTCTACTCTACGACCTCGAGAGCGGGAGATCAACCACCATTTATATCTATGATAAAAACCGAGTAAATCAAACGAAAGTGTCTGCCGTCTCGCTGGGATCAAAACTCGCTTTTCTATCTACACGGTGCACATGTGATTGCTCATACCTCAATCATATGTGCCGTACTAAAGCTGTTCTCACCATTGATGAAAACAAAAAAATGTCTACCCTGTACGAGGTTTGTGGTAAACAAGACAGGCCCACGCATCTCGTGTCCGTGAACGGCAAGATTTTCAATATCAGTCGCAGTACGCCCAGAAGTCGAATACATGACCAAGATTTGTTTCAAATTCTTGAGCTGGACAAGAGCGTCAAATTTGATTTCACCTGTGTATTTGAAAATAATATATTGCTGTTTAAAAACAATGATTATACTAATGTTAGTACTCTTAATAACCTTCATAGAATTGACGATGTAACAGTCCACTGCTACAATCTGGAGACAAAGTCGCTAACAACAACTGCGATACCGGGTATTAGTTTTAGTCGTAACTATACAGCCATACACAAAGGCACAGACTTGTTTGTACTGGTATCAAGCGGTGCCTTGCTTGCTGTCTACAAAGCTGATGACAAAGTACAATTCACGTATGTCGTTGACCTTTGGATAAACGAGGACTGGATGGTATACGGGGCAGCGTATTATGAAGGTGAGTTGCTTTTGTTCTGCGATGACGATGGCACTAACCACCCCACGATTCTGACCTCCGTGCCTGGGGTGTTCGAGAAGATTCGCGTGATCGAGGTAGATGCAGAGGGCTGCAATCTTGTCCCCATGGTTGTACCAGTCTCCTGGGTGCAGAAAAGTGCTAGAGTGCTCTGGCGTTTTAGTTTGTAGCCAGTCCTATAATTCTATGATCTCGTCATAACCAATGGCAGAACGTTACGACGGACAATCAAGCCATGAGAATATTTTATTTAATTCCATCGGCGAGAATACCACAGGGTATACATGTAGGACTATATACTATGATAATATGCTTACATTATTAGTTTCATTAAATAAAAAGAAATGTTTATTAAATGATGTATTCTAAAATAAACTATAAAACCATCATACGTGACATTTTGATGAATGTGTGTATGTTATTTGTTTCCTTCGTATGATGCGTGTGTTTGTAGATCAGTGCACTTCCAATATATTTCTTACAGTTTTAATATTCAGTTGGTTGGTAAATAGTGAAATATTTTAGTTAATGAACAGCTTTATAGGTTCCAAAGCAGTTCAAAACTGGTGCATAAACCACCTTTGACAGAAACCACGAGGTAATACTTACCTTAAAAGATGCCCAGTGGGATCACAGGTGTCTCGCAAAATTCATACTTCGAGAAGACGAGATCAATACCCCAACACCCCCCCCCCCCCCCCCTCACAACACCCAACCTTCACATTACTTGTAGGCTATTTATGTTATCGGGATTAAAAGACTGATAAAACATGAAAATATTAAGAATTAGATCGTAGCTACATTTTAAAAAGTGTTTCTATCACTGTTTCTCCGAAAAAAAAGGGGGGGGGGGGGTTGCACTTGAAACTTTCGGGGGGTGGAGGGGGGGGGTGATATTATACGGGGTAGGGGCGGACACTGGTAAAAGTATATACGATATAAATTCTATTTAGTTAGGGGGTAGGGGGGTGTGGCGATGCATGACAGAGACACTGTTTAAAACACGCCCAGTTCCAGTCTTTAGGTAGAGCCCACGATCGCGTTTGACTGATGCAGTCTTGTTACAACAAAATAGTTTGCTAACCGGAGCTGTTATTCTTTTTTAATGCCTACAATAAAATTTCATTTGCAAATATAGATCTATAAGTTATTATAAGTCACATGTTTTATCAGGATGTGAAGGTACAAGACGGGTGTGACGAGCTATCAGTGTTTCTTTCAGATTTTTTTTTCGGGGGGGGGGGGGGGGTCGCACTCGGGGGGGGGGGGCGGACACAGGTAAAAGTATATATTTTCTATATAATTCTATATTGTTCGCGCGGGGAGGGTGGGGGGGGGGCTGTAGACGTTCTTCGAAGAGATGCCTGGAAGAAACTCTGCTACCAATGTGTTTTAATATTAGGGCCCAAATATTAGGGCCTAAATTGAATTGCTATTAACTTTGTTGCTTCTTAAAAATAAAGAAAAATATCCTTTTTAAATATTAGCATATTGGAGAAAGAGGATGTTTTTGCCAGAGGCGTAGCTAGGGGAGGGCGGGGAGGGCGGCCGCCCCGGGCGCCGACCCTAGGGGGGGCGCTAAAAGGGGTAGAAAAAAATGTAAAAGCTCATTTTAAGCTGCAGTTTTAAGCTGCGCTTTTTCGAAGACTAAAATCGGAAAAATTCACATCGGATCAAGGAATAAATAACCGATATCACTCAGAACCCCACCAGTTTCATATGCGCAATGACCGAACCCTTCTTAATAGTTGTATCGTCCACACTGACAAAATCCGATCGTGAATCATATGAGTCGGCTGTGTGTCTTGACCTCCGCGGAAGCCCTGAGACTGAATTACCGAACCTCTTGGGTTCGACGGAACCCACTGTTCTAAACTCTTTTGATTTTCTTCTTTTTATTCATTTCGGCTTCATAAGGAACATAGGCGTAGGCAACAATTCGTCAACTCACTTGATTTTAAAGAAGATCGAACCCTAATAATCCAGCTTCTCTTGAACGTCACGGGCGTCAGCTATTATCATTAAAACCGGTTATCACAGCTTCTTCATCCAGTACAATTAGTTCTTGACTGTGTGCGAGAAGGCAGCGCACATCTGATAAATCCAAGACTTCAGTTTGTTTCCTCAAGCTTGTTTCCTTATACAATCTACCAGTCAATAAAATACCCATATCGCTTTCCAATGTGAACAATGCTTTTGCTATTGTATGTCAATTGTATGACCTTAATCTAACAAACTTATAATCCAACTATGTACTATATCATAACAGAGACAGTTTCAAAGATAAAACATAAAAAGACTGTCCTAAACGAATTAGCACCGCTACAATTTTTTTTCGGACATTACTAATCATCTTGTTTTAAAGGATAATGCATCTTAAGGGGAATTTAATTAGCGACGAGTAAAGTTTTAGGGAACGACAATCATACAGCGTAATTATTAATTTCTTTCCGGACTGTCGCACACACACACACACACACACACACACACACACACACACTCACACACACACTCACACACATATATATATATATATATATATATATATATATATATATATATATATATATATATATATATATATATAGGGGGCGCCAAACTGAATGTTCGCCCCGGGCGTCGGGAGGGGTCGCTACGCCTCTGGTTTTTGCATCCGAAAATATCTAGAACTTGTTCGATGCACATCAACTTTATTTTTATCCCGCTTTTTATTTATTGACATGCCAGAAAAAAATTGGTTTCGGCTTTTTAGCCCACTATTTATATATAGAGATAGACGTCTCAAAATAACCACAGACTTCTGTTATTATATAAGTCTGGATCGCGGAGCGCGTATTAATTTACTGAATTTGTAAATTTGCAAACTGCTAAATCACGACCATATGATTAGTTCGTTGCTTTAAAGTACTTATATTTTGAGACCATTTCATATCGTTCCTTTTTTTTATATTAGTTAAAGTAAATAGTTTCGATAATTGGATATTTTTTAATCGATGCGCATACAAATACAAATATGTCTAGTTCTACTGAGTAGATAGGCCTACTTAAAATAGATCGAATTTTCTGCTTGGACTTTTGACTGTTAAAGTTTAGAACTTTAGATTGTTTTCAGTCAACAAAATGTTAAATAATATTTTATATGATAAAACGTTAAAGTTATGAGTTTTTATTTGTATAGTCCAACTGGCAATGTTTCCTTTCACAAACTTGAAGAATATGCATTGAAACGACTTCAGTTTTTGCTGCGGCTTGTTGTTTGCCAAGACGAAAATGAAATTGAAGATGTTCTACAAGATGCAGATATTGTTGATCAAAGTGACTGCTTAATCACAGGCACTGCAAAAGATGCTATTTCACATTACGCCCTTAGGTAGCCTAATGACTCCGATATATAATAATCATTATTATAATGAGTCACGAATGATTCTATATCTAGACAATTATTATTTATTTTAGTAGGTACGTTTAGGTACGTAAATGTGGCCAAGGCTAGTAATGTGACTAAAGGTGACTCATTAAATTTTATGAGGATTTATGTTTTGAAAGTTACTTAAATGTTTCAAAGTTTCATTGGTGGACCTGTTTTTAAATAATTGTTTTAATACTTTTGAAGTGACTACTCGGAAAAAGATTTTTCAGCTGAAAATACTAAATAGGTTAGAGATAGGGTTAGGGTTATGCGTTTTTTTTTTGTAAACACGCGCATTTCCATGTGAAGTTCCATCAAAACATCACTGCGATTGAAGTCGGTAGTTTCTGTTCATTGCACATGCGCATATTTTTCTGGCTAGAATTGGCTTAAAAGTTTCAGTTATTAATAAAGATTAGGTTTGGCAATGTTTTCATTAGATGCAACCAAGGCCAAGCTCACTTACTTTAGCAGCCATATTGTTTACGGTTTTTTATAACATTTAGTTACAGATTCAGGTGAAACCACTCTAATTTACAGATGGTTGCTGTTTATATTGCAAATTATTCAATTATCTATTGTATTTGACACAAATATATCACAATACACTTGTATTAAAACTAATAATGAGTCACCTTTTTTTCACATTACTAGCCTCGGCAGATTTTATGTACCTAAAACAATAATTACCTTATCTTGTCACTTGTTGTGTAGATTGCAGGCATTCTTGTATATCTGTTCAATAGATTGAGCGCAATCTTAAAATATAGGCCTATAACAGGACTGCTGTATTTATAATTTTGTCTTACAACTTTTATAACAACCTAAATTCTAATGTTACTTAATGCTATTGCCAATCCATCCCAACTGTTATTGTTACTTTATCCTAATCCTGAATCTAGAATTTTCTCTGTCTCAGTTTTGTGGTTTGGTTATCATTACTTGTCTAATAGTAAAGCCTGAGCACCTGCGTTTTCTTTCTTTTTCCTTACATTATATCTTAAATTAAGTTAAATTCTGTAGCCTAAGTTACCTATTAAATCCTCATCTTCAGACTTACACTTGGAGGATTGCCAGAAACATCATCATTTTTCTTTGAATCTGAGCTGTCACTGTTCAAGCTTAGAGTTCAGAAGATGTTTGAAGATGAATGGACACAGTTGTTCAGCTCCCTGGATAGATCACTACAGGGACATAAGGGTATGTCACTCCTTATTAACATTGTATACTTTTCTTTTTAATATATCCATTGTGTTTTGCACTAATCCTTCTTTTATTTTAGCTGGTGTATTAATATTGGCCAAATATATTTCTGCTAATTTTTACTCACTATGTCTTTCCATTACTGGTCAATAGTTTTAAACTTGAATATTTTCTATGATTAATTTGACTCTTTACTTTTTCTTAAATCTCATTTAAGGATTTTTTTATCATAATTAAAATTAAAAAATGAACATAACAAATGTAATAATATGCTAGTAATTTTTTTTTTTGGCTCTGACACAGATGGTTATTTTTAAGAGGAAATAATGGAACAAAATGTTACAATTTAAAAAAAAATTTTTTTCTAACATTAATTTTAAAATAAGCTCATATCTTTCAGTGAGGATCTCCAACTGTCACAAAACTCCAGAAGAAGAGATTGGCTGCCTGTTGAACACACTCAAACAAAAGTTCTGCAACTGGGCCCAACTAGCAAAAGAAATGTGTAGTGACAAATCTAAAGTTTTTGTTCAACTTCCGTTCCAGATGCTGCTTAAGTTAGTAGCTAATCGTCAGGTGTCTATACATCAGGTAAGTTGTATAAGGGACTATACCTTTTGACTCCCTTTTATTGCTAGTAGACCTGACTACCCTAGCAGCAACACTAACCTTAAATATTGATCAATGAATACATGTTTTTTTGCCCAGCTAACTTTAACTAAAGAAGTATATAACAACAGTGTAATAAGATGATTCGAATGTACCTTAACATTAATATAAATCAATATGTGTGTGTCTAACACTGCTACAGACAACTTCATCTTTATTTTCCTAATCTAATTAATAATTTTAAAACAATTGTGTTTTGTTGATTGTGGTAAAAATGTTAATTGACATATAATGGTTTTATTTTTTAAAAACAACAGCTGATTTTGAATATCTACTGGTATTTAGCTTTTATACTTTCAATTTTCATTGCTGTGCTGAAAATTGTTACAGTCTGATTATAGTTTAAGTGATCCACATATTCTGGAATATCAACTGCATTTTGATTTCACTGTGCATTCTTATTTTTGACTCGCAATTGAGCAGTACAATCAGGTTAAATGAAAAATTATCAGTCTGAACAGAATGTAGTTGCTTTCCCGCACTCTTGTTTTATTCTGAAAACATAATTTTTCTGGTTGAACATGAATTAGAAGTTAGTTTTGTAACCTTTTTTTTATAAACAAAGAAAAAACAAGACTAGAATTCTTGTCTGACAGGGGATGGCAGAGGTTCCTGTCCCCCTCATAAAGGCTGTGCTAGCTGAACTGTATGAGAAAGTTTTACAGAGAGCTGTGAGGCAGGCAGCTACAGCCAGAGTTGCTGCAGTCAGAGATGAGAGGATTCACAGACTTGCCTCCAGACTTCTGGTAGTAAAAATAAAACTTTGTGTCATTGTTTTCATACATTATTTTTTTCTGTATGGACATTTCACTTTTGGCTAAAGAATTAACTACATGAGAAATTTACTAGATGATTTTAGCTTATATATCTTTAAAAATATGTTTCTTAAACTTTATTAATTTTTAAATAACACTTATAGAAGTTATGTTTTACTTATGGCCTATCAAAGTAAAAGTAAAGTTTCCCTTTCAAACCTGATGGTCTATGGGGTAAGTGAAGTAGAGTTCACTTGTTTCTGTGACCTCGGCATATGAAGAGATAGTGTGGTCAGTACTATGTCCAGCCGCCTTTACTTTCCCTAACGTGAGTCAGGTACCCATCAGAGTTGGGTGGACTTAGGGACGGTCTACTGACTTGAACCCGGATTCAAACTTGAGACGTACGCATTAGCAGTCCAGCTTATGGCCTATCAGGTATCCACATAACTCCCTGGAACATTAGACTAACACAGAACAATGTGGCACCTCACTGCTCCACTGTGTCATGCCTCCCTAAGTCTTAATCTCTCTTTTTTTACAGCATGCTTACAGAAGTGAAATGAAACCAGCCACTGACCACTCAAAGAAGTATCCACCTCTTAGACTTGCTGACCTGTGGACAAACTGCTCCATGTTCCCACCCTGTATGGAAAACCTGATGACAGAGCTTAGGGTACGACATAGACTGAGGCATCATGACCGGGTAAGCTGTGGTCTTCTCTTGTTGAATTGTTAAATCCACTTGTGGTCAGCTATTGTATGATCCAGGTCTACATCACAGCATAAAACCAAAGTTCTAATGAAAAGGCCTATTCAGCCAATCTAGGGTTCATAAGAATCCTAGATTTTCCTAAATAGAATGTAGATCAGCAACCGGTCTGATAGAACTTGTAATGTATCACAATTGTTTACTGTTCTCTACCTTTAAAAGACCTTAACTACCTTAAAAAAAATCTTTTCTCAATCTTAAAAAAGATACTTGGCCTGATCTTTCATACTCTCATAGTAATAAATGTTAATGATCCTTTAACATAGCGCATACTTACAGAGATGGTTGGCACTTAAGGTCATGTAAAAATAATACAGCATGTAATATAATTTATACGGTTAGGACACCTGGAAAGGAAAGATATACACAGTGTAGACAAGTTAACTTGAAGAACTTAGAAGGCAGCACTGTACACCTTAAATTATTTGGATTGACACAACAATGGAGAAACAAATTAGTTCCATTTCTGAAAACACTGGCTAAAGATTTCATAGGTTATGATGTGGCTTGACTCGTGTGCATAGCATCTGTCTCAGCATAGCCTTATCTTCAATATTATATATATATTATAATATTATATACACATGATGGTGCTTTATGTTTAGCACTTAAAATATTTTTCTAAATTTTCACAATACTTGTAAACAGTATCTGAGCTTGCTAAAATGGCTGTTGATTTACAGCAGTTGAAAAAAATTAATCATAATTTATGAACACAATGAATTGTTATCTTCTAAACTAGACCATTGTGGTTTATAGCAGGTAGGGATCTTGTTTTTTTTACCTCCCATCTTGTGATTCATGCCTGCCAGGTTCAGTAACTCTTCCTAGACAAGTCTGAAGTTGATACAGGGTGTTAGATGAGGTTCACATTTTACCAATGATGACAATCTTCCAAGAAAAGCTACCAATATGACATGACTATCTGATCTGTTGATTGTAAGAGTAAATTGAAGCTGTATGTATAGACTGTAAAAGGTGAATATTACTTCCTCTCTTGTTACAGGTGCAGCTAACTCTCTTCTTAAAAGAGCTGGGTCTACCAGTTCATGAGGCCTTGTTGCTATGGAAACGGGAATACTCCACCCCAGTGGCCAATGGTTCTTCCAGCTGTCATCATGGTTGGCATGGTAACGAAAGGAGATATATCTACAATATACGTCATTTGTATGGCCTTGAGGGAGGACATGTTAACTACAAGGCTCATAGCTGTTCAGCGATTCAGGTAGTTTGTTGTTTACACTTTAGGTGTAGAGAGAGAATATATAGACATTAAATAACTTATTGTAGGGTGACAATTGGGGATATTTAAAAATGTATTTCTAGTAAATATTCGGTCATGGGTCAGTAGGTATACACTAGAGCCAACCAGAATGGCTTGAGTTGAGTTCTAGGTTTACATGTACTCCGTGGGTGGATGTTAGGTCATTAGGGCATGTTAGGGCATACTACTGACCCCCTCTGTCTTCAATAGACTATTGGTATTACAGGGTCATTCCTAGTTAATCATCTTTTCAACATAATTTGACTGTTAAACTGATTTTTCTAGTCCTCTATAATCACTTCAAACTATTCAGATTTTTAAAAAAATATTTAATATTATCCTCTGTGATTGATGCATATAATGATATTCATTTGCTTTTATCTGGGATAACATAACAACGATATTACATTGATTTTGTACAGGGGAGATCACTTGGTTGTGTTAGTGCTGGTAATTGCCCTTTCATGAGTTCACAAGAGACAGCTGGAGCATCAAATGGGGCTTGTGGTGTTGTGTATGACCAGGCTGTGACCAGGACAAAATGCCAGAAGTATTTACAGAAGAAGCTGCTTGCTTATAAACAAGCCATTACACCCTGCTGTGGGGATGTCAGTTGTAAGAAAATTCCTCATTGTAGCTCTTCTGAAACAAAACATAATAATGGCCAATGTTTAGTTGATAAAAAGTTGTCTACATTTGGCCACAATGTCAGGACTACCTGCCATAGAAATATAAAACCAAAGCTAGAAATGAACACAGACATAAGTTCTGGTTATTGTGGTGATGAGAGTTTGAAGAAACAAACTCTGCCCAATGTATTATTACCTGAAGTATTAATGTCCAACACAGTTGTAGAACCAGTTCTGGCTAAAGAAATCTGTACATGTTCCACTAATATGAAATATTCATGTACAAATTTATCTGGCACTTTAAAGAGGCATTTAAGTCTTGAACACTGTGATACTTCATGCACATCTGTAAAACAGCCAAGAGTAACAACACAAAAATTATCTTCAAATATTATTGACCCTGAAATTCCATCAAACAAATCAAGTGGATGTAAGAAAACTTTGTACCAAATGGATGATGTTAAATTGAAGCTGAACACACTGAAGACTGAAAATGTTGTGGAAAGCAGTGAAACAATTAGTAATAACAAATTACCAAAGATGGAGCTCTCTTGCGAGGAGGTACAAAATGTAAACAACACACCACAAACACAAGGATCAGGTGAAATGTGTTGCTGTACTGTTGACATTAAGCAGACTTCACACCTTAAAAAACCCAGTGATTTTTATTTTCAGTGTCTGACCTTGACTTGTAACTAATGTCAAGAGCAAATATTATGCATAATTGTAACATATTTCTATATCTTTTAAAGACTATATTTTATATAAATATTTACCAAAATATTTATTTAATCATATTTATTAAAAATTGACATATTGTTTTTACACTTACAAAATTTTTATTTTAATACGTAAGAAAGCATAAGCTTGTAACATATCTTTTTAAAACCTTGTTTACTGCTAGTTCACTAAAAACAATCCAGGACATATGTTGCTAATGTTATACAAATTTTATCTTCCGTAAGTTTTTTTTTTAAATTTATTTTTAAAACAATGGTTTAAGATTTAGTTTTCAATGGCATTACAAATTGTATACATGGTAAAGGATTTATAAAATGTACCACATACCTTAGATATTTGATTATACAAATAGAAATATGTTTATAGGCCTACTTCCTTGTAAAATACTGGTAACTATTTTTAAAATATATTTTAATAATGCAGGTAAGATCAACATGTTTTTATTGAGACTGTTTGCTGAGTTCTATTAAATTTTGATAGAATTGTAAGATAGTGTTCTTTTGTCATTTTAATTGATCAATTTCTTTGTTACAGTTTTAGCTGTAAAGTTGTGTAAAAATTTTATCTTAAATGTTTTATTTTGTGTCCAATGGCATGGTGTTTTATTTCTTGTAAAAGTTGTTCACAACTTTTAATATGAAAGTTTTAAAGACATTCTTTTGGCTAACACGATTGACTTGGACACATTTCTTTCCCTTTGAGTCTTACCATTTGTAAATGTTGTTTTAAAGATTACAAATATTTCGATGTATATTATTTTATGAACTCAAATCAGAAAATAAATGCAAATAACTTGTTAAAATTTGTTTCACTTGGTGCCTTCATGCTTGTTTACAAAACAAGACTTTGGTGTCTCCATCTTTGTTTACATTACAAGACTGTTTAGCTGCATTACATTTCAGTGCTGTGGTCCAAGGTTTATACAAAAATAGATACCACAATGTGCATTGCTGGAACACTAAGGGTCAGTGTTAGAGCAAACGATTCTAACCCATAAGTCTCAAGTTTGGTTCCCAGCCTAGCTTATTTAGTTTAATCAAAGATTGGTGGCTTAATTGCACTGTAATAACTGTGTTACCTTATGCCCCATGTCTTATGTCAACCTGCCCCAGTAAATAGTTAACAGCTTATATACAAGCCTGATTAGTCAAGAAAAGGTGGCTCATCATAATCCTGCCCATCAAAGTTTCTTCTAAGCTGTGAAGTAGTTATAAACTTGCCGCATAGCTATTTTATAATTTACAAAAGAACTTGCGTAAGATGTTTTTGAGCTTCACTGAATTCATATTTTGAACACAAAGGTTTCTTCTTGTTTTTGAGCTTCACTGAAATCATATTTTGATCACAAACATTTGCTACTTTGAGGCCATGTTGCCTACATAAACCCAAGTAAAAGGAACAGGTGTTCTCTATTGAATCTATTTAGATCAAGGTCTACAAATAAATAACTGTTTACAATTAAAACAGCTGTCCTTGGTTATTCCCCTTATTGAGGGGAAATAAATCAATATTTAGGTTGTAAAAAATCCAGTGTAGCGTTTGGAAAGGGTTAAGTGTAATGTATAGAGAGGGAGGGGGGGTGCAGCGATGGGGAAGAGGGTGGATAAAAAAACCATGTCGTCATTATGGAATACCAAATTCAATACTTTCAGATATATTCTTTTTTAAAGTTTCATTCTTTAAAATCATAATCAGCATCAGTCAAGGTTACATTTAGAGTTGTGTCAACAATTGGAGCTGCAGCCCTGTCTGCCGTTCTTTAGATTTGCAAATATAAGAACACATTATAAATATTTGAATATACAAAAGTCATGGTAAGCATTTGATCTTTGCCGATCTTTCACACTACTTTTTTTTCTATATTTGACGGCCTACCCCCTTATTGAGGGTTTCGGAGCGCCGCGTAGTTCCGTCACTTAGCTATATGACAACGACAAATAAGGGTTTCTAATAATCTGCAGGTAATATAAAGTCATCGAAAAAACTTGACGTTATTTATGGACATGCCGTCATTTTACAGATAACAAGAACATGAGCATTGTGTAATAACAGAAGGGGAGACCGTAATGACTTTGTTGCTCACTTTGTTTTCACATATGGGCTATAGACCTATGGTCTTGAGAGATAATCCGGTCTTGAGTAGAATCACTAACCCAAAAGTTAAATTTAGCGTGCGATACCCTAACTTGAGCCCACTCAACCTTAATGATGTAATGTGATAGCTAGGTAGCCTGACTCACGTCGGAACAAAGTAAACGCGGATAAAGAATGCTGGGTTCTTTCAGATGTTTTTTTTTTTCTCGGACTGGGGGTACTTGAAACCTCAGAGACGGGAGGGTGTGTGAGTTGGGGGGGGGGGGATGAGGTTCGGTACTTGAAACATTGTGGTCAAAGTAAGTCTATATACTATATAGGGGCCATTTTTTTTATAATGGCCAAAATTTAATATTTTTCTATTAATCTATATTTTGTTGGGGATGGGGTGAGGGTGCTCCGTATGGCGGGGGTGCAGCCTTGAAGGATGTCTGAAAGAAACACTGAAGGAGTCATGATTCCCATTATTATTTGAACAAGTTGTTAGTATCAATAGCATCAAACCGCATGTGCATATATCAATGTTAGGCCTTATATTATTACCTACTAGTTCTACTAATTTACTAATTATGTTCACGTATTATAGCAATTTTTTTAAACTGCTACGACTGGAAAGCTATGCGTAAATGTGGAAAAAAAATATGCCTAGATTGCCTCCCCTTTGTTGACAGCAAGCAACGCCAATACACCAAGGACCGGAAAGGAAACTCTATAATACACTTTTCGGTTCTAATGATTGTGTATTTGAACAAGGAGGAAACCCTCGCTAAGTGGCTCGTTAAAAGATGTCGGCTGCTATAGGATTTTCTTCCTGTCAAATACTCATATTTAGTCTTTTGTGGCTCAGTTGCTATGGTATGATTATTACTTAGTTAGTAAAAAATAACATTAAAAAAAAACAAAAGTTCTGAAACTTAGTTGTTAGATCTAATTAATTTCTAAATCTTGAATTCTATATCTAGAATCTAGATTCTGATTAGATCTAGATCTACTATCTAATTAAATCTACAAATTTAGAGTTTGTTAGAGTTTAGAGAGTACATTAGATTACAAATCTTGATTTTAAGTTCTAACCTAATTTTTAATAATAAAACAACAAGTCTTAGGCCCTATATTATAAAACAATTTTATAATATAATTATTTGGTAGACCTATACAATGAAACAATGTGACATTAATTATATTAATATTAATAATTGACATTTCGAGCCATCCTAGAGGATTTCATGATATTCGACGCATTTAGGGGTCATCCATTTATGACGTCCACACGCGGGGGGGGGGGGTGGGGTCCGAAAAAAACTGACTTTTGTGGACGCATATGGACTTGTATAAGGAAAAAAAGGGGATTTTTGTGGACGGGGGAGGGGGGGGGGGGTCCAAAATAAAAAAAAAATTGGGGACGTCATAAATGGATGACCCCATTTTCTGAGCTAAAAAGGGCAGAAAAAAACATTTATTTCTCCCTTTAGTTTAGATTTTTCTAAGTTTTTTAAAATGGGCCGAAAAATTGGACAGTCAGTTTTTCGAAGAATTTTTTCAAAAGGGTTGTTTTGTGTGATATTTTGATGTAAACAACGGCCCAGGTCAACACGTGTCACACCACGTGAAGGCACCTGATTGAAGGTTTAGGTCACACATGAGTGGTTTTCGTACATTCTCAAGAACTAAATACCAGTGAAAATCTCCTAAAAATTTCCTTTTAAGAGCTATATATCAAAAATGATTTCAAACATATGATCCCTTTGAAAACTCTTGAGATAGTACATCGACCCCAGGGGTCACACAAAAATGGTCTTATCTTCTGGAAAAATCCAGAAGACCTTTATAATTGAACAGAGCCCATATTTCCTTATGATAAACATACCCATGTTTTTATTTTTAAAAAAAACTGAATTTCAAAATCTGCATGTACATAAATCCTGAGGTCATAGAAGAACTAACGGGGGTAAAGAAATAGATATTATCTGCAGAAAAAATCTGGATGGTCATTAGAGATTGTGGGATATAGATCTATTGGAAATCTCTTGGTTATTTATGATTAAAAAAATCATCTACATTTAAGATTTTGGTATTAAATTAGAAATAGTGTTAAGCTTAGTATTGGTTTATATTATTACACAGATTATGTATAGTATATTATTTTAGACAAATGTTTTTCTTAAACATAAGCAAAGCTAGGCAGTTAGCCTAGCATAAAATAAACTCAAAACAATAATCTGTGAATTGATTAATTTTTAAAAATACCCTAGAGTAAGAGACCTAGACCTAGAATCTAGCCTAGTTCAATTTTAAAATGTAAAATAATATAGGCCTGAGGCCTACTTTAAGAAAATCTTAGACTCTAAATCTACCTCTTTTCTTCTCATAGCATAATATCCTAAATTTAAAATAATTATTAATTAGACCTTCTATTTACTAGCTTATAGCACAAATACATATCCACAATAAAAAAAAATATCCATCGCAGTAGTTTATGCCAAAACATCACTGAATTTTGAGCTATGTAGCCCTAGATGAAATAGAATAAAGAAAACTTTACATATTTTTGTCTGAAATGTTTTCCACCTTATATTAATTGCAGGCGCCATACAGGACAAGTTGAAATATCATGAAGTTGTCAATATACAACACTCACATGTTAGGAACAAAAGAAGTGTAGATACGGGGATTGAGTTTTTGACCAAAGAGTTTTCTTTTCATGCCTTTAACAGGTAACTTTGTAAATATTTGGTAAAAATATTAAGTTATTTTACTGGTTATTTTGAGATTTCTTATTAATAATACCATTTTGTATACATGTAAAGCTCAGCTATTTTTAATGAACAATGCTGTTCACACAGAAATTCATGGTTTGTCTACTCTTTGCTGTATGTCTAATAAGATATTATTTTTGACTTCTGTCTTTTGATGATAAATACCTAACCTGCATCTGCTACATCTTTAGAACATTTACCTGTGTTTTGACTCCACGTCTGAACCTGTTCTCACCAACCTTTAAACTTGTTGTGTACGGGGCCAATGGGGAACCTGAAGAACACAGTTTTAGAAGGGATCAAATTTATAATGGAAAGTGTGCAGGTAAGCTGTTTAAAGTTGTTCACTGGCTACTCTATAACATAAAATTCCAGATTACCATGTTTACATTATTTTAAATCATAGATAGATGTTTACTGTAATAATTTTCTAGTGTTTATTGTAAATAAAAAATATTATTAAAATTTTATTAGTTTAAAATTCGGACAATAATTTAGGTGTAGGTCTGTTGTTGTTTAGAATAATTTTATCAGTAATTAATTTGATTGGTTAAGAATCAAAATTAATGCAATCAATTCCAGGTGATGACAGCTCAGAAATAAGAGGAACTTTTAAAGATGGAATCTTCTCAGGGTCAGTCAAGTATGAAGGTCAGCTGTATGGCGTTGAGGTAAAGAAAATTTGAAAGGCATATTATAATTTATATAAATATATAACTTGCGTCTGCACCATGAGCAAAACCATTCATTCTTTTTGTTAGTTACCTGATAGAATCATTTAACTGTTTGCAATAAAAAATAATAGCATTTATTTTATACATTTTAGCATTAGAAATGTCTTTTTTATATGATTCAAGACATATTAACTATGAATAGCCTTTTTGGTATCACTCAAGACACTGTAGTAAACGAACTCTACCCAAATCTCTAATGTAGTTGACACAAAATTCTCTTTTTTTCTCTCTTAACGACTCCGTATTCTTGATCAGGTTACCATATTTTACACACTGTCCTTAGTACTCTAGAACATTGTAATTAAGTGACATGTATGTATCAAACACTGTATTCTGATTGGTCCAGGACGCCAGCTACCACATACAAGATGAAACTTCCACTGGCCAGATGCTTGTCTACAGAGCTTCAGACATCAAGTGGCCAGAGACAAACAACAAATCTGGACATGGGTAGGACACATTTTAGTGGGCAGTTGAACATTTTTTTAATTGACAAATGTTGATATTTGTTTGTTGTGGGGAAAAATGTTAAATATTTTTTCTAGCAATAAAATATGTCTTTGCCAGGATTTTAACTTTGTAAAGCAAGTATGAATATAAAGTACAAATAAAGTTCCCTTTGGGACCTAGCGACCAAAAAAAGAGAATAAGTAGAGTTCACCTATTTCGATGACCTATATGAAGGGAAACTGTGGTCAGCAGTATGCGCATCTACCTTTACTTTCCTTATGTAAATCAGTAACCCATTAGAGTTGAGTGGATGCAGGGGCGGAACTACAGTGCCGCCAGACCCCGCAATGCGGGGGGGCCCACGCCATTTAGGGGCCCACAGCCGACCATACTCAATTTTTTTTATAGTTAAAAAAAAAATTTTTCTTGCATTTTTGACTTGTAAAAAAGATTACCGTAGCTGCGGTTGGATTATCTTTATTCTATAGACACCACCCCACGCTCTTGTATATTCTCTTTCCTTTTGTTTTTAAACCACTGTGAAAGCCGTCCGCTTTCTCCTACAATCAAACTTATCATCAAGATAAGCAAACGTTCAAACCACTTCCATGACTTATTTCCCTTTTTTAAATAGTCCAATAGGGGTGCTCATAAGCTTTTTTAAATAGATTTATACAAATTAAAAAGCAATTATTTCTCTGAATTATTATTGTTTTATAAAGTACTTAAAGACTGACGCTGTATGAAAAGGAAATGTATTTTAAATTAATAATATAAATACAAAAAAACATAAAAATAAACATAACACGAGACACCATTACTTATACAAAGCTTTCATGGTTTATATTCTTTTGACCGACTAGAGGTAAATAGGTCTAATAGGTGAGATAAAATAAAACTGATTTTCTTAGAACACATTAATACACTTACACACATGACATGCTGTTGTAAATTGTTATAATTTAAATTTAAAAAAAATTAAAACCCGAACGGGCCTGCAATGAGTATCCTATGTTCGTATTTTGTGTTTGTATATATATATATATATATATATATATATATATATATATATATATATATATGGGGGGCCTAAAAAAATTTTTTGCGGGGTGGCCCTTTTTTTCTAGTTCCGCCACTGTGAGTGGACTCAGGGATGTTCTGTTGACATGAACCCAGGATTCGATTTTAATTTTTAGCAGACGTGTGCCCTAAGAATCAACAATGCTGTCCCAAGTATTAGTAGGCAGGAACAGTTTCGTTTACATTTTCTCAACTTTATATTTTCAGTCCTGGTTTTTGTGGGAACTTTCACCAAAATGTATCTTTTAGCAGTAGCAAGAATGACGATGTGATTGCATCAGGTAATTATCTACAAATTAAATCTTTTTAAAAGTTAGATGAGCAGTATGAGCATAAAATATAAGTGTATTAATTTATCAGTTAGATGATATGATATGAAATATGGTTGTTTATTGTTTATTTATTGTGTTTTTATTTTTTGCCATAGAATCTAATTAGTTTTAGTGTATCAATTTAAAAAACAAAAAAAATGCATGATGAGTTGCTACCATGACTATATGTTTGATCTTAGCCTATCAGGGGTCAAGGTTCAGAAGGTCAACGCCAACCTGGAACACCTGTAAGATTATCACAGTGGCAGACTACAATTTTTTTCAAAAGACAGGTCGCGGTGACATCAGGTACACAGCCACCTATATGGTAAGTAGCTAAATGTCACAGTGAGATAGATTACATAGTATGTAGCTAAATGTCACAGTGAGATAGGGTACATAGTATGTAGCTAAATGTCACAGTGAGATAGGGTACATAGTATGTAGCTAAATGTCACAGTGAGATAGGGTACATAGTATGTAGCTAAATGTCACAGTGAGATCGGGTACATAGTATGTAACTAAATGTCACAGTGAGATCGGGTACATAGTATGCAGCTAAATGTCACAGTGAGATAGGGTACATAGTATGTAGCTAAATGTCACAGTGAGATAGGGTACATAGTATGTAGCTAAATGTCACAGTGAGATAGGGTACATAGTATGTAGCTAAATGTCACAGTGAGATAGGGTACATAGTATGTAGCTAAATGTCACAGTGAGATAGGGTACATAGTATGTAGCTAAATGTCACAGTGAGATAGGGTACATAGTATGTAGCTAAATGTCACAGTGAGATAGGGTACATAGTATGTAGCTAAATGTCACAGTGAGATAGGGTACATAGTATGTAGCTAAATGTCACAGTGAGATCGGGTACATAGTATGTAACTAAATGTCACAGTGAGATCGGGTACATAGTATGCAGCTAAATGTCACAGTGAGATAGGGTACATAGTATGTAGCTAAATGTCACAGTGAGATAGGGTACATAGTATGTAGCTAAATGTCACAGTGAGATAGGGTACATAGTATGTAGCTAAATGTCACAGTGAGATAGGGTACATAGTATGTAGCTAAATGTCACAGTGAGATAGGGTACATAGTATGTAGCTAAATGTCACAGTGAGATAGGGTACATAGTATGTAGCTAAATGTCACAGTGAGATAGGGTACATAGTATGTAGCTAAATGTCACAGTGAGATAGGGTACATAGTATGTAGCTAAATGTCACAGTGAGATAGGGTACATAGTATGTAGCTAAATGTCACAGTGACACAAGGTACACATCCACTTATATGGTAAGTATCTAAATGTCACAATGGCATCAGGTCCATAGTAAGTATCTAAAAGTCGCAGCGAGATCATGTACACAGATATCTATATAGTTTGTATCTAAATGTAGCAAGGAGATAATTTTAGTTTCAGTGTTAATAGTTTAATTTTATTCCACTAGTTTTTACTTTTTGTAGTACTCTAAGAGACCAGATGAACCAGCGAGTGAGTGAGGTAGAGTTTACTTGTTTTTTCTCACCTCAGCATGGAAGAGATAGTGTGGTCAGTACTAGGTCCAGCCTTCTTTACTTTATCTATGTTATATATCAGATGTCCATCAGAACTGGATGGACTCAGTGACATCCTGTAAACTGAGCTTGAGACTTTTTGGGTGAATAATTACACTATCTACAACATCCTGTTTTTTTATAGTTACTATACATAGTGTAGGGACTGTGTGGCCTAGCGTTAGAAGACTGCTAACCCAAAAGTCTTGAGTCTGAATCCAGCTTTAAGTCAAAAGAACGTCCCTGAGTCCATCCAGCTCTGATGAATATCTAACGCATGTTAGGGAAAGTAAAGACAGCTGGACATTCTGCTGACCACATATGCAGAGGTCACAGAAACAGGTGAACTCTACTTCACTTGCACCTTGGACCATAAGATTCGAAAAGGGAACATTACTATTTTACTATACATAATGTGTTTTTTTATCTTTTAATTGTTTCAGGCTGGGACTATAGACAGGGTTGATGCCATTTATAGAAACACTGAGTTTACGGTTAACTCAGCTATTCAGGGATTAGGATTTGAAATTGCTCAGGTAATCTCTCATTTAGTCATACTGATTATAACAATAATGTTAGGCTACAGCAGATGTCACTTTAGGTTTGTAGTGTTTATGTAGAAAACTCACGGGGACTGAACTTCAACTTCCATATTTGTGTTAAGATTTCTCACAGTGGTTATTTGGTTTCGACCATGACAGGAAGTGAGATGCTAATAACGAGGGCCATTAATTACTTTGCTACCCCAACTAGGGTTGACTAAGTTAGACAACACGATTCTGATGCATGAAATGCGCAAACAAAAACTGTACAATTAGAAAAAATTCACAGATGCAAATTTATTGAACTTTCATTTAGTCATATGTTATGGAAAGATGTTTTATTATGCATCATATTACATCTGCTCATTCTTTGCTAGCATCATTGAATTTTAAATACGCAATTTTTTATGCAAAGTTTTCTGCAGCGCATTTTTATCTGGAAATAAGTCAACACAACAGAGCACATAGTAGCAGGGTGAAAAAGAAATAAATCAAATTTCAACAAATTTGGAAAGACAAATCCATTCTCCTTCCATGTCACCTACACAAAAAATGTTCTACTTCACAAATTTACCAATACTCAATATCCCTTATTTATACACATACAAGTTGTGTTTTATAACTATTAGAGAGTTGACATGGATTTTATTTTATCTCTTCACCAGATGGTTATATATAAAAGTGCCACAACTGGTTTTAACAAGCTAACGACAAAGTGGGAACCATTGGACCTACTAGAGGTAATTGGCTTTAGTTTTTATTTGAGTAAATTGTTGATAAAATTTCCTTAGGAATATCTAGCTTACTGGTAGAGTGCTAGATTTTTTCTCTTAGCTTAAAGGAAACTCACTCTAGAATCCTTAATAAATATTTCTATGATAAGAAGAAATTTTTGTTATGCTTATAATAGTGTGCATGGTGCCTTATGTTTTACATTGACTGTTAGTGACAAACATAGCAAAGTCTTAAACATAGCAAATCATATCTATTTAAACCTTATGCTCTGTAACATTTGTATGTTGAAAATACACTTTAAATAAACTTCAATTTTAAATGTATAATTTGTAATATAATATCAGGACATAAATTGTTTCTTCTATCAGTTTTATCCAATTATTTCCCCTTAGTCCTTCAGTGAAAATCTGGAATACAAGAACTTCTGTGCTGCACATTTGTTTACACATCAGGCTTTTGATGGAAATATTCTGGGACTGGCATACATAGCTCCACCTCGAGAAGGTGGCGTTGGGGGCATTTGTTCTCCAGGTAATTAGTTCATCACTCACTACAAAAAATCTGAGTTGCTTTAGATTTCAATAAAACTATGAGGCTTAAAACTAAAGAAATATTTAGAAAAACATATACTTGATTTTAATAAAAGTCATGTAATTTTAGTATTAATGTCTTGTTTAATGATACGGGGTTAGCGTGGTCGAGTTGGTAAAGCTCATGGTTTCTAAACCGAAAAGTCTCGAGATCGAAAACCTGGGGCAGATGAGGTTCGTTAGCTGGGGATAACCACTCTTCTAGGAGAGACAACTCCAAAATCAAACAACTGCTGCCTTGTAGTTTGTTCTTGGTTGGACAAAGGCTATGGAAGCAAATCTAAAAAGAAAAGCAGGCTGAAATCGGAGTCTATGGTCTCAATGTCGCATAACCAGTAGACATGTATACTTAATTGTGTTGGAGGGGATCCCTTCCAACACTAAAATTAAGAACGAAGAAGAATGATACATTATTTATCATTTTTACAATCTAATGTGTTTGTATTCTTCAGCTGCACGACTGAAAAACGTCATGTCTAGTCTAAACACTGGCTGGAGCTCCAACCTAAACCAGAACCATGACACTGTGCTTCTACAGCAGGCAGACCTGGTTACAGCCCACGGTAAGGAAACAGTTGGCCGTAGTAACACAACTTAAAAAAAAAGATTCCTTTTTAGACCTAACAATCCATTGGGCAAATGAAGTAGAGTTCATATGTTTCTTGACCTCGACATATAAAGGGATAATGTGGTCAGCACTATACCTAGCTGCCTTTACTTTCCCTAACTTGAGTTAGGTACCCATCAAAGCTGGGTGGACTCAGGGACGGTCTACTGACTTGAAGCCGGATTCGAATTCGAAACTATTGGGTTAGCAGTCTAGTACTCCACTGCTAGGCCACACCGCCCCATCCATAGTAACACAACTTACTGTTACAAAAAATATGACAATATAGACATATCTCATGGAAAAAAAACAATTTGTACAAATACAGCTGGCTACAATATCTAATTTATTCATTGTTTACGGTTGGCATGGTTGAGTCAGTAAAGCTTATGTTTGCCTAACCAAAATGTTCCAACCCCCAGGCAGATGCATTCTATTTGCTGGGTACAGCAAACCATCTAGTAGAGAAAACTCCAAAATAAACAACCGCTTCCTAGTAGATTGTTCTTGGTTGGACAAAGAAAATCAAGAAAGAAAATCAGGCTGAAAGTGGAGTCAGCAGCCTAAAATGTGCACACCAAGTTGACACATAATATTTTATTGTTGGAGAAAATCCTGGTCAACATTACAACTAAGAACAAAGTTCTTGGCTGTAATATCTAACAATATATTCATAGCGTAATGCAAAATACAATCTGGCAATATAAAAAGAAACACTGATATAAAAATCCAACAATCTGGATACAACTTCTGGTTTAAAAAAATCTGAGAATATTAATTCAATTCATGGATATGTAATCTAGAAAGTGTAGATAGTTTATGGTAAAGAAGATCTAGAAATATGTAGCCTACTTAGATTTTTAGTAATAAAAATCTAATATTTAAGATACATTTTGTGGAGTTTAAACTTGATATCAGATAAAGGATCTACGATTGTGCTATATAAATCCATATCATTTTCATAGTATAATACAACTCTTTAATAGTTTACATTTTTATTTTGTGTTCACCAAATCTGGCTGCATTCTCCTTCACTTTGGAACTGTAAGAACTAGGTAAGTTAGCACCCATTTGTTCTAACTACTTTTTTAGACATACTATATCACAGGGTAAGGAAATGTTTAGTAACTGTTATCAATAACCATCGCTGAGATTACTATTATTATTAGTTTACAATGCTCAACCAAAATGAACTAATTTTTCCATTTTAAATGCATTTTAGAAGATCCTGCATATTCAGATAACTTTTAGAAATGGCAATTCTTTCTATCATTTTTATTATTAAAACATATTTTTTCTTCTACTAATTTATTATTGGTACTGAAATCATTAGCATATTGGTTTTGCTGTTTAATCAAATCTCTAGTTTATCTAAAGTTTTGAGCAGCATTTTCATAACGTTTCTTCTTGCATCCCAATTAAAAACCCGAGAATTATGTAAAATGTACCCAATAACTTCCTGAAGTATACCTTTTGTTAGGATGAGTTGTTTTGTAATGTATAAAAGATAAACAAACACATACAGACATCGCTCTTTTATATATAATATATATATATATATATATATATATATATATATATATATATATATATATATATATATATATATATATATATATATACTACACAGTGAGCTGGACAATACCCCCCCGCACTGTCAATACCCCCTTACCCCCCCCCCCCCTCCCCGGATATTTCCCCTGACATTACCCCCTGTCAATTAGTACATAACGTCTACACACTTGATTTGAACAAACTATTCATACTACAGAACCCCTATACACTTTATTTTAACAAACTGTTCAAATTGTTCTTAGGTCACAATTGGGGTGCGGAGCATGACCCTGAAACAGGAGACTGCTCACCCTCCACAGTCTTCAACAAGGGAAAGTACCTGATGTACCCTTACTCTGTCAGTGGATATGACTCCAATAATTATGTAGGTCAATTTATGACTCAAATAATTATTTAGGTCAACGTATGACATCAGTATCTATGTAGGTCACTGTATGACTCCAATAATTATGTAGGTCAACATATGACATCAGTAACTATGTAGGTCACTGTATGACTCCAATAATTATGTAGGTCAATGTATGACACCAATAATTGTGTAGGACAATGTATGATGACAATAATTATGTAGGTCAACATATGATGCCAATATAATTATGTATGTCAGTGTATGACACCAGTAATTATGTAAATCGATGTATGACACAAGTAATTATGTAGGTCACTATGACTGAATAAATAGGTCACTGTATGCCTCCAATAATTATCTTACCAAAAATGCTGTAAATTTTTCCCCTTTTTTGGACGTCTTCCAAAAGTTAATCGTTTAATCTTGGACATATCAAACCTTCCAAAACTGTGTATCTTATTTCTACCAGATGTTTTCTCCATGTAGCAAGGCTCTGATCAGTGCTGTTCTAAAGATTAAAGGCTCGACATGTCTAAAAGGTGAGTAACTTTGGTTTCATTTCACTTTGGTTTATAGGACTTACACTGTTGGTGTAACTTTTGTTTCATTATAGTTAATTAATTTTGGTTAAATTTCTCTGTAGATTTTATCATGGAAGTTAGGTTATTTCTATATTGTTAATTATATCATGTAAATCTGTTTAATTACTTTTAAGATTAGATAATGGAATTTCCGCTTTATACCTGTTTCATCAGGCAAATTTAGTTTAATTTTTTTATTAAAAGATTTGAAATTTAGTTTTTTATCAATAGTCCTAAATTTTAGATTCCAGTGCGTAAGCAGCTTAAGATAATAAAATATTTTTTCAAACATTTGTATCTTGATATGCTGTGTTTGTTAGATGATTTCTATGTACTAGTGAAAACCTTTACAAAAATGTTCCAGAGAGAAGTGAGGACCAAAACCAGATCTGTGGTAATGGCCGTATAGACGTGGGTGAAGAGTGTGACGCTGGGTTTCTCAGTAAATTTAACCTGGACGACTGCTGTGATAAAAACTGTAGGCTTGTGGCTGGAGCTGTATGCAGGTTTGTTTGTTTGTTTGTTTGTCTGCTCTATTATTATTTTTCACCTTAACAAAAAAATGTCTTTTTTAATTTTCTCTCATCGTCACTATGAAGTTCTTACTTATTTTTTTTTGTAACAACTCTCTGTTCCTTTCAGTTTTATCAGCTACGTTTTCATGGTATACATTTTTACGTAAGCCATAAAGAATTATTTATAAAATAAACGCAACATGATTTGTTTTTATGTAGGATCTGCCCATTTTTTAAATTATATTTTACCATCATCACAAAAAATATACAATTGTTTCCTTTTTACAAAGTAACTGCTTCAGTAAATATTTCAGTACTAACCACTTAAAATCTCACATAAACTGGCAAATATTTCAGTACTAACCACTTAAAATCTCACATCAACTGATCAATGTTTCAGCCCTTCAAACCATGAGTGCTGCACAAGTTGCAAGGTTTCTCCTGCTGGCACCACATGTAGAGCCAACACAGACATTGATTGTCTTGAGTCAGCCTTTTGTGAATATCCTTTTTCTATTTATAGACACTAATGCAGACAAAAACAATTGACTTCCTGTTTAGCTAGCCTTTGTTTTTTTTATCTTCCTCACTTAAACAAATGAATGAAGTGTTCAACAAAAGGAAATTATTTATTTTTAATATTTATATCTTTGGCAACAATATTATTATTTGAGTTGGCCACACATTTATAACAATTTTATACTTACCTGTTATGTATCACACCTTAAAACAATAGAAAGCTAATTTAGAAAATGTTTAAAATCAGCCATGCAGCATATTTCAATTCTGTTTAGTTACACCGCTGTTCTCATACTATATAAAAACTGCTGTATATTACCTTAATATTATTACATTTTCTCTGAATATGATGTTGATATTGAAATATAAAATAGTTTCTGTTTTGTAGTTTCTATGTCCGTTGGAGGATACTTATTCAATACACCTATTATGTACAAACAATTCCCTAACTCTAACCACTGGATATAGCCTAACTTGTCCAGCTCAGCTAAACAAGTTAGATGGCTCTAGTTGCCTGGACAAGTAAGTGCATGTTTGATTTTTGACAAATACATATTTCCCTGACAAGTAAGTGCATGTTTGATTTTTGACAAATACACATTTCCCTGACAAGTAAGTGCATGTTTTATTTTTGACAAATACATATTTCCCTGACAAGTAAATGCATGTTTTATTTTTGACAAATACATATTTCCCTGATAATTAAGTTGATATTTAATTTTTTCACTAGTTGAGTATTTTTATATTTGATACTTTAGTGTCTGTTTTTTTTTTAAAAAGGAACCTACATGTCTTTTTGACAAGTAAATAGTTTTTGACAACAAAGAGTATTTTGTTAACTTTTAAAATGAGATGTCATAAAAAAATATAGTGGCACCAATGTTAAGTCTGTAAGTTTTTTTAATCTAAACTGCAATTAATTTGAGTTAAAAATAGAGTCACATGATCACATGTTTGCTATCACACCCAGGGGTCAGTGCCAGAATGGTCAGTGTGTTCCTTTCTGTACAGCAAGAAATCTCACAGCCTGTGCCTGTGAGAAAAGTAAGTTAAAGTACTCTTCTGTTTAGTCAGAAAGGTTAGAGTTACTGTAAATGTATTGACACAAACCTTGTCCATAATAGGATTTGAAGCTATAGATAAGATCTAAATTCAACTAATGTTAAAATATAGCTTTTCTTGATGGTCTACTTTGTCAAGTTAAAGATGAAGTAAATATTGATTATAAAATAAGGAATACCTTTATGATAATATGGGACGGAGTAGTCTAGCGGTAGAGAGCTGGACTGCTAACCCGTAAGTCTCGAGTTCGAATCCGGGTTCAAGTCAGTAGACCGTCCCTGAGTCCACCCAACTCTGATGGGTACCTAATTCACGTTAGGGAAAGTAAAGGCGGCTGGGCATAGTGCTGACCACACTATCTCTTCATTGGCCGAGGTCACAGAAACAAGTGAACTCTACTTCACTTGCCCCATAGACCGTCAGGTTTGAAAGGGAAACTTTACTTTTATGATAATAACTCAGAATGTGGGTAAAAACTAAATCTTACGTTTTTATTTTTTTCAAAGTTATAAATCATTCTTCATACCTAGTTAACTCATTCTCTTGTAAACATAATTCTTTTTATTCGACGAATGCCAAAAAGTAGTTATTTCAAACTAAATATTTAAAATGGACATGTAAAAACTAAAATGTTTCCATTTGTGTAGTGGCACATCATCCTTCAGAAACTATATCTAGTTAACTCATTATCTTGTGAACATGATTCTTTTTATAAAATTTATATTATTTAAGGAATGCCAAAAAGAAGTTGGTTTTTATCATGCAATTCTATTTTAAACTAAATATTTAAAATTAACATGCTAAAAACTAAAATGTTTCCATTTGTGTAGTGGCAGAGTCCTGCTTCAGGTGTTGCAGGGAAAATGCCACGATGCCTTGTAAACTCTACAGCACTGACTACCCGCTACCAGATGGCCGACCCTGTGTTGGGGGATACTGTCAAAATGTAGGTAGCCTGCTAGAAAAAAGTAGATCAAATGCAAAATATATAGGTATCCTCCTTCAATTTTAAATGAAAATCAGATTGTAGATACATTTAATCAGATTATAAATAGCCAGTTAAATATAGCCTGTTTCAAAGTGAGAGCATCCTGTTTTTTAATGGTTGACTGGGTTAGAGAATAATTTAAAATTTTCACGTACGTTTGTCTTTTAAGGAGCAACGGGGATGGGGTCTTTTAGATTGTTACAATAAAAGCACATTCCAATATCTTGTTATGTATTAAATTTTTTTTTTTTTTAAACTATAGAGTAAATGTATATCAAGTTCTAAATCAACCATCCAGCGTTTGTTTCAAATCCTGGAAAACCTTAGTATTGACACTATAGGTGAGTTTACAAACAGGGATACAATTTAACAAACAATTCTGAAAATGTATTAATAATAATAGTTTATCATTAAAATAGCTGTTTATAACTTAAATAATTTAATGTAGGATCAATAACATTGATATATAAGTAATGAGTTTTTGCCATGTTTAGAAATCAAGCATACATGATAAATTACGTTGCATATCCTGCAAACTTTACGTAATAATAAATTTTCTTTTTCTGTAAATTTCATTTTTAGCTACATTTTTCCGTAACAACATGGTAGGCTGTGTGATTGTATTTTCCCTGTTGCTATGGTTTCCTGCAAGTATTGCAGTTTGGTGTCATGTAAGTATACCTTTTTTTCTTACAGTGGAAGCCTAATATTATCCCACTTATTTCTTTACAGTATTATTAAGTCTGTTTAATTGTATTTAAAAAAATCATAAAGCTGGAGAAAAAAGTAAAACAAAAAAATACTGAACATAATAAATACTGAACATAATAAATACAAAACCTCATAAATACAGGACATATTATTTACTGTTAATTTATTAAATTTTTTTCTGTAGGACCGTAAAGAAAGAAAAAAATCAGACAAAAATTACGCATTAGAAATATGTCCGGTAAGTTAACTATCTTTTTCTACTTTGTCTATATTTCACAGTTCTTCTTATATCTATATATAGTCACAATTATTAATGTTTTATGTGGAGGCTAATTGTATTTTGTTTAATAACTAGAAGTGTGTTAATTGGTGTATATCTACTACTATAAATTTTAAAAAATTAATCCTTTTAACATGCTTATACTTATGTTATAATTAAAAATAAGTCTTTGTTATGAGAAAAAAGCTTCTTTATGTACATTATTTTTTTATATATTATTTTACATCTTAATTTTAAATTGCTGCATAAACAATTACTGTTTTTAAAATAGATTGTATAGTACCTTTTCTAATATTTCCATTTTTTTTCAGTCACAGCCATCTTGTAGGCTTACTACTTATTACAATCTTCTATTCAGTTCACTATTTCATCCTTGTCTATCACTGTGTTTATCTGTATTTATCTTTTGCAAACTGTTTTCATGCCTGAGAGCTGACAAGGTTTCAAAACAAATATTTTAGTCAAGAAGTGCTAATTTAAAAAAAAAATATCAGCTTACTATTTAAAATTTTTAAATTTAGAATCATTAAAAGTATGAAATAAAATGAGTATAAAAAGCATTCTAATAATCAGCTTTACATGCACTAAAAATTAGAAAATTAAAAAAAACATGCTTTCTCTAGTAATAGCATTGTTACACTTTTTAGCACTTATTTTTACTAAAGAAAAAGCTTGTTTTAATTTTTTTTCAGTGCATTTAAAAGCTTATTATTAGAAAGGTTTTTATACTTATACTTGTTTTATTTAAAAAGACATAAATATTGCCATTTACTTTAATTTTTTTTTAAATTATGAGTTAGCTTCACAACTACCTAACAAATAATTTCATTTAAAATTTCCAAATTCTATATTTCATTATTAGATAGGGTTTGATATTAAAGATGTTTTGTTATTTTCAGCAAAGCCTAACAAGTATATAATAAGTAGGTTATGTACTGTGGTGTCCATGTTCCTGTTGCATGGCTTACTTGCAAACATCTTATCTTTGGTTTACTCTCAGTCTTTCCTAATGGATGATTCTCATTGATTCCTAATTAATAATATATTGATTTTAATTAACTACTACAATTGAAGTTTTCAAAAAAATTTCTTGCCTAGTGATTTGAAATTTTTTTCCAGCATCTACGCCAATACTGAAATTATCAGCACACATTTCTTTTCATGCATTTAACTAATATTATTTTTGTATCGTGGAAGCCATCTTGTTTTTCCCCTGTATGAATGTTTTTTGTTACTGTTTTATATTGTTTTATTGTGCTGTTTTAAATTTCTAAATGGAAAATCATGGTTACCAGCAAAGTGCAAAGTAAGCTTCTTCCCTAAAAAAAACGCTAACGTAACCATAGCTCTAGCCAATTAGTTGTATGGTTAGTTCGTAATATAAATAAACAGTGGGGGGGGGGGGGTAAAGTACATCTGTAATAAGTCACATTGCTTATGAGTTTCCTCTATCTATTTTTACATGTTTACTTTAAAATCTGGTTATGAAATTCTTAAGATAACATTTAAAGCTTTTATTATTCTCTACTAGAACCAGCTATCTCATTATGTAGTCAAGTTACAGGTGTGTAGAAAAATCCTGGAACTAAAGATAAATATGACATTAAAAAAAAGATGACAGATCAGCTAAAGGGGATGAACATAAAAAAAACTAAAACTAAGCCATTATTTTTGTTAACTCAACAGCTGACACCATGAAGGCTATGGCAGTAGTGTAAGACACTACAAACCAAACCAGTATGACAGGATCGTATGGTTATGCTTCCTAATGCACCTCCTGTATAGGATTACACCGTATATCTCTTGGTTTAAGGGCTAGGTAGCAAAACATTCAAATCTATATTCCTTTAAATTTTTAGAAAATGCTAGTTTTAAAATTTGTTAAATATTAGTTTTAAAACCTCATTACAATTTTTAAGAAGCAAAAAAAATATTTATACAATATTAAAATATACAAATTAACATAATGCAATTTAAAAAGCACTACTATTTCTAGAGGAATTCAAAATTATTTTCCATTTCTAATAATATTACTACTATAAGTTAAAAAGTAAATCAGATTATTTATTATTTTCATTATGCACCTATTAATCAAGATAATCTTTCCTACAAGTTCTAACTTATTTTAACAGCTTTATTAATTCCTGCAATAATTGACCCGACTTCCTAACAGTGCTGTCACTGCCACACTTGTCACAACCGCTCATTGAAACATTCAATTAAACATAAAGCAATATTTGTGTTAATCTTTTATATATAAACTTAAAAATTATTAGCTTTCGTATTTTAATACATTTAAAGCTCATTAAAAATAATGAAGACTCATTTTTTATAGTTACTATTTACAATAAAAAAATTAAAATACTTCTTAATTTTAAATTTTAGAAGTAGTCATAATGCAATTCTTTTTTCAGTTTATTACTTACACTTAGTGAATCTTAACTCATCAATATCTTTTTCTAGTAATTACAGTAACCCATACCTCTGTTTTGTTAGGTATATGACACAATCTCCTGGTCATTATTCTTTTAACTCTACCCCCAAATGTGAATTACTCCTGCATTACTTGAGTACAATACCATTTACTTCTTACATGCACTAGGGATTAGATAGAGTAAAAACAGGGTAAACAGCAAAGTGCAGAATGTGCCTCTTGCCTCAAGGAAACTGAAATCATAACTCTAACCCTAAATAGGCTTAGGATTAGTTTGTTATGTATTGAAAGAGGGGGGGGGGGGGGTTCTTCTCAAGTTTTTTTGGCAGGGGAGTGAATTTAATATAAAGGAAGAAAATTGCCAAGAGTTAACTTGCTGCTGGGTATTGATAAGGGCATTGTCCTGCTCGCATTTTGTTCAGTTATTAACATAATTCTTTTACCATTTTATTGTTTTAACATTATTCAGTTTAATCCTTTTATATCTTTTTTTGAGTACTTACAATAAAGTTAATATCAGGCTCTAGTCTACCATACCACTGCTTCTTTGCTCATTTATTTGCTTGCATTTTAAACCTAAAACCCTCTAACCCAGTTTGCTTTAATTAGTCCATCTATTAATAGCTCCTCCCATCCTCAGTGATTGAATGCATGATTAACTAATTTAGTTTATGTTTAAATTTCAAATCATTTTTTTAAAGTTACCCTTAACTGCTGTTTTATAGTTTCACTATGGAATAAATGCTTTGCAAGAGAATCAGTTTAAAAGATGACATTTATTTAAAGAAAGTCAACTATACTTTTTATTTTGTTTTCATATTATTTTACATCTTTCTGTTTTAAATTTATTTTTATAAACTTTCATCTGTGTCTAGAATAGGATGTAATAATATGATGGGTGTCATCCATAAATGATATCACACACTTTTTGACCAATTAACGCACTAAATCCCATGTTGCCTGAATTTTCATGAAAAAGTCATGACCCCACCCTCCCCTCTTCTAAAATGACATCACAGAGTGAGATAATTTAAAAACATAATCTAATGTATTTCATAGTTTTTTTTTCTCAAAAAATTAGCATACAATTATCAAATAAATAAATTAGTAAATAAATCACATTATAATTATCCCCTCTCCCAAACCAACACCCTGACAGCCTAAACCCCAACCATCCTCTAGATGTGTGACATAATTTATGGACAGGGCAGTTTCATATTATTTTTACTAAAAGCCTCATCCAGCTGACTAAAAAAATTGCTGACTTCTCTAATACTTTCACCCCACAGAAACGCACTCGCACTTTACTGTTTGACCAAGATGGCAGGAAGGTTGTGAAGCCAGTCCCTGCCCCCAGCACTGGGAACACAGCCCTTCGATTCCGCGCCTTGAATGCCAGTGCCCTCAACCAGAGCACCTCAGCTCTCTAAAATCTGTGCACGCCATTAAAACGGGTCGACACAAAATTATTATAAAGCAGCACCAGTGGATAAGAATCAATGATGCATGATAGCCAATGGACCAATGCTTTTTTAACATTCATTACTGTTCAGATTCTTTGTAAAACTCATTGCACTTTAACATTTACTATGTTTATATTAAGATTTTTATTATAAAGAACAGTAAGCTTTTATTTTAAATGATTTTATTCAAAGAAGATTGTAATCTCATTACATTTTTTAAAATATTTGATATCAAAGAACTTACAAATGGTTAAATAAGTATAGTTTAAACATTAAATAAATTATATCAATATTTGAATTTAAAACAAAATCAAAGTGGGATACTTATCTTTAAAAAATTGTGACCACTCTCAACTTTAGTTGTTAACAATACCTTACCTTTTATATATCTTACAATTTTGCTTTGAAACCACACATCTTTATTCCTTGCCACATTTGGCATTTACACCAATTTTCTAGCCTCATATGTAGGTAATTTACTTTTTTTTTTTTTACTTTTTACTTCCTTGTTGCCACTGGCAATTCTTGCTCACCATACACTTGTCTCTGCTTTATCTGATGTCAGGTTAGCTTTGTTTCCTGCAACCTTTGACCTCCATTTCACAGATTTACTGTGAAGGTTTCTGTGCAGATCTTGTGCCTTACATAATAAAATGCTAAAAATTATTTTAAATTCACATTTTTATTTGAACCCTTTTGTATGTATTTTTATAAATTATCATGTTTTTAGCTAAATTTTTTTCATCATACTCTATTTCTGGTATCTCTGTTATTTTTATACGAACAAAATCCGTTGATAAAATTTTATCGTATCCTCCATGTTTCGATCCAGAGACCATATTTTACAGGTCAAGACAATATATACACAGTTTTTATTATCATCAGCTGTTACATAGTGTACTATTTATAAATTAATTATCTTTAAGTTTTCTACCTTTTGTATGTTGGTTAAAACATATCAACTGTTTTAAAACAGTATTAATTGCATATATTTTCTGTCATTGATTTATTGTTTATACTTGGATTAATTATTTAAATATTGTTGTAAATTATTTGTATGTGATTTATTTATTAAAAACAATATAGTTAAAATATATGTAAATGTACTTAAAAATGGAAAAAAATGTGACTTATAGAACCAGTTAAGATATTTTTACCATCTCTTTATCTATTTGACTTATTTAGTTATGTGTTAAACTAATGTATGCTCTTTTGTATGTTTACAAAGGATATTAAAAAAGGAAAGATTTCTCTTAAGACCTAGCGATCCACTGGGCAGATAAATTAGAGTTAAAAATTTTCTTGGCATAGGCATATAAAGTGATTTTCTATTCAGCATTATGCCCAGCTGCCTTTTTTTCCCACAACATCAGAGCTGGGTGGACTCTGGGACATTCTACAGTCACGAGTCCAAACCAAGATCTGAACTTGAGGCATATGAGCAAGCAGCTAAACACTCGACCATTCAACCATGTCATTTCAGAAATGGATTTAAAAAAAGGATTGGGTAGAATTGGGTTTACTATTTGGTATTCATAGCACATTTTCGCACACAGCTCTATCTCAACATAAATTTAACCACAAAACTACTCATTTCATGAAAGTTTACATATCTGATAGAAGTCAGTATGACTGTATTGCACTTAATGATTTCAACATTCATTGTCATTTATTTGCAAAACAGAAAATCAACAAGTCCTTAATATTTGTCTAATAATTAAGCTGCAAATATTTTTGAAAGATTGTATATTATTATTTTGTCAAAAGCATTGTTGTATAAATTACTTCTGGCTTACTGTGATGCTCTTCTGCTGTGAAAGTTATATTTATCCTATTGTCCTGTATCTGCTGCAACCATCTGTGATACACATCAACTAACTTATCTCTAGCAGTCAAAAATCTACCTTAGCCATTCACTTAAGTAGTTAACATTTTGTTCCTACTTAATTTTTACAGGATCAGTTTGCACTATTTCAGATGTTAAATGTTCCGTCCTATTTAAAATATCTTGCATAATAAACTATTCAAATGCTGTCTTATTTTAAGATAAGTAAAACTAAATATTTTTCTATTCAAGCTATTTTTCTTATTCCATAATCTGTATGTGAAAAATGCACTGAACAATTTTATTTAGAAATGTTGCGCACTTGTTTCATTAAATAATAAAGTGAATTTTTTTTTTCAATGGTCTTAATTTTCTGTCCTGCACAATTTTAAGACTAATTTCTTTGACAATAATTTTAGCGAGTTTATTTCTAAATTGATAAAGATACATTCACATTTTTTTTTATCTGATGGTCACAATTTTCTGTGACTCAACATCTGATGCGTGGTGCTGAGTGGCCTTAGGGACATAGTCAGTCCACCTGAAGACTTTCAATCCCATGTAAATTATTAACCACACCAATACAATACACATACAATAATATAACAAAAATGCCTAATAAGGTAGAATTTTATTAATATAACATTTTTAAAGAAAAGATTACACTTTATAAACGTGCATATATGATAAATGCCCTTCAATTACTAAGGCAATGCACAATCAAGAACGGCTTGTATACACCTACCAAATATTTTACGGCAATTATAGCTACTAGCATAAATATGGAGAGGGCTAGATAGGGTTTAGTTTTTTTTGTAGATTTAGACAAGCTTTGGTAAACAAGTCAACAGAAAAAAAAGGTGAATAAATTAAGTATACAATATTTGTTTGGACAATGAAGTTAGTCTAACTTGGAGACAAAAGCAGTAATAAAAATGATCATTATTACTACTTCGTGTTAGGTATCAACCCATTTCACTTTCAATAAAGAAAATACTGACTTTTTTAATTCAACATCTTTATTTAATATTACTGCAGAAATTGTGAAATATAATTGGGCAATGAACTGCCTTAACTTGTTTACTACTTGCGCACTATCATTGTATTGCTTTCACAATGAGTAAAACTTGAGTTCTAAAGCAGCTTACATTAAATAAAATAACAAGTTAAGTGTAACCATGTGTAATAAGAAACAAAGGCAAAGCTCATAGCTGTTCCCTAGAGCAACAAATCAAGTCATACACACATTACATGATAACATCCACACGAGCCAGCATATAATTTACACAATTGGGTTGTCCATACAGAGCTAAGAAGATCAGCTGTCATTTCTTTAAAACAAAGCCTATGCCATGATTCCAAATACTGGATTGTGGCGACATATGCTTGGGCCATGCTCATCGTAATCTGCTTTTGTATGGCAAACTTGATAGAATTCAGGCTGAGATAAAAAATCAATTTTTCAATGAAGTTAAATGTTGTATGTAGAAAATCAAACATGGCAATAACAATGGATAAATATTGATAGATATACATTTAAATAAAGAGTAAGATTTTGAACAACAGTAAATCTATGTTTTAGTGAGTTCCGAATAAGTGATTCAGGAAAATAATGGAAATTTCAGAAATAGCACAGTACACAAAATTTAAAACTAACATTTCAATTTTCTAAAAATCCACTTGAGTAAGAATTTTAGCAACACTACGCAAGGCATAAAGACCGTCATCATAATAAAACGACTGTAACTTACTGTTGAAGCTAACATAGAGCCACCGAACCAGACAGCGTATCTTTGCATATGGTGGGTTATGACGTTGACATCAATAGGCTTGGGCTAAAAAAAAAGTATCACATGTATTTGGAGTACACATTTTTCATGAAACATGCATATAACTTCAACATATTGCATGGGGAAAAGTGAATGATAATTATGTTGGACTGAAGGCAATAAATTTCACAAATCTATCTTTGGCTCGATCAAAGACACTTACTCTTCTACAGTAGGTTCGTATTTAGTTTATTGAAAGGTGAATGAGAATTGTGATCTTCACACAACTCCTACAAATGTACCAATGAAACTATCTACTCTATAGATTATGAAATGTACACAATGAATACTATTACACTATACCCAATGTATTCATATTAAATACATAAATGCTTTAGTGATGTGTAAGTCAACTTGCCCTCTCTACCTGGGCATTAAACTTCTATTAAATGAAACAATCAGTTAACTTGTCCTATCTATCTATCTATATGAGCAGCATACTACTATTGAAAGAAACAATCAGTTAACTTGTCCTATCTATATGAGCAGCATACTACTATTGAAAGAAACAAACCTTGATGCGTCCTGCGCTGAGATCTTCACTAACTTTCAGACGGGCATCCACAATACGCTTTACATCACGCTGGATCTTACGTCCAAAGTCTCGGAACATGGTTGACCCACCAGAGAGTACAATGTTCTACAAACAAATTTGTAAAAAATTAATTTCACTTATGCAGCCGGTAGTTAACATAAATAATGAGATTTTTCATCAAAATCAAACAGTTGCAAATAATAAAATGTATTTAAAAATTAACTAGTGAAACGGAGTATTATTGTGTGAAGAAAAGCATTAATATAAGAAGCCTAGTATGAAACAAAGCATTATGACAGTACCTTGTACAGCCCTCTCCTGACATCAATGGGGCAATTCTGGACAACATCATCAACTACTTCGGAAATGGGAAGCTCAAAATCTGGATTGCAGAACTAAGGAGCAAAAGTTTAGTCTACATTAATATTTTTTTGCATTAAGTTTTGGATCTAACAAAAATTTTAAAGACAAAATATTTATCATCATTAGATTTTATACTGTCAATAATTGTTGATGGCCTCTATTTGTACAGATATGATAAGGTATGTCTCTACTGATAAGTATGCAGGTTCAGTTCCTACAAAGGTTTAGTGTTCCTACCTCTGGGTGGAAGAAGATCTCAGGCCCCAAGAACCTCTCATAACCTACATCCACTGAGAAGGGGTTTTTAGTGACTGCGTTGACACCTTCAAACTTTTTCATCCACTTGGCAGGGTCTGCGTCATATTTAGCAAACTCTTTTGCAATATCTGGGCACACATAGCTGTAACGTTCCTGTAGTGAGAGAACATGTCTCAATTATTTTAAGCAATTAATTCACACAGAACTTCTGAATAATTTAAAAAAAAAAAAAAATTAAAAACAATTTTTAATCATTTTTATTACAAATGTTTTATAAACTAATACTAAAATCTCTAAAAATTACTGCTGTTTTATTTGGCTTACATTTTATTTTTTCTTTAGTATAGGTGGCAAAAATTAAATGGTGTTTGCAAAAATACTAAGTAATATACAGGTATAGTTACATCAAAGTGATAATACTTCTGACTTTAACAAATAAAACAGATTGGGTTCTTTTTTATTGTAGCAAATAACTGAAGTAAGCTCAAGCAACTTCCTTTAGCCAGGATTCATGCATTATGTTAAAGATACAATTCAGGACATTTAAATGGGCGTAAACTAGTCAAAGCTGGGAAATAAATTTTGAAAATAATATACCTATGTTTGTAGAACATAATATCTATTATATGTGAGCATTGTATGTTTATGATGATTTCAGTTTTAAATTGTCTTTCAAAAGTGCAAGATACAATGGACTGACTAGCCCCAGTTTTATTTGTAAATATAGATTTACTCTTCTCCCAATATATTTACAGTGTTCTAAACATAAAATCAAATTTTTATGCCATGATTTTAAAATTTCAGGAAATTATTTCTAATTTTGACAAGTTTTAAGCCGTTTTTGAAAATACATGATGTTTTTTTACAACCATCAGAAGGGTGTGTGAACCCTGGTTAGTTAAAATGTACTGAAGTTCCAACCTTGATAGCTTTGGCTGTCTCCAAGGACTGCTCTGGTGGGATCCCAACCTCCCTCTCTCTGAGCAGCTGCTGGATGAAGTAGGTGATGTCTCTGCCAGCAATTGGGATATGTTTGATACAGCTGCCAATCACATAGCCTTCAGCCTAAAACAGAGAACACAATTTTACAACTTTAGTTAAATTTCATCACCTTTACTCTTATTACCCAGTGACCTCAGCAAAAAAGGGGATAATGTGGTCAAGCTATGCCCTGTTGTCTTTGTTTCCTTAGCTTAAGTCAGATAGGCCACCCATCAGAGCTGGGTGGCTCATCCTTGTCACAAGTTCCAAACTGAGTTCCAAACTCGAGGTTTTCATGCCTTCCCAATGGTTAAATTAAGAAAATGTTAATGTGTGTAAGTGGACTTTAAATCATCAAACTTTTATTATTTAAAAATGTTTTGTTGTGTCTATATAAACCACACCTCATAACACTAACAAAAGAACAAACAAAATTTTGTTTTTTAAATTATTAAAATGGAAGTAAAAGATTAATGTGAAACTTACAACTGGGATGACGTGGGTGACACCATCACCGGAGTCAATAACTGTTCCTGTTAAGGTACGGTCACCAACCTGTCTTGATGTCCATGAAGCTGCAAGTGCTAAGACAGCCTATAAAAGACACGGTCAGCAAACACATGAACAATCTTTGTATCTAGTATCTGCATACAAAATCACTACATCTATTCATTGAAAAAACTTACTATAGAGTTGAAATTTAAACAAAAATTATACACAAAGCTTGGTTGAATTACTAAATAAAATCTAACAAATAAAAAAGAAATCAAGCTGCTAAGATTAAACAAAGAAACATGTAGTGGTGCCACTTTAAGGCAAGCAAAAAGAAAATAGCTAACCTGTACAGCTATGTAGAGACCTGGAATGTTGAAAGACTCAAACATTATTTCAGCAGTGTATTCTCGATTCTCTGGAGTATTCAGAGGCGGCTCTGTCTGGAAAAATTTAATGAACTTTTAATTTCATGGCCTGTTCTGTGTCAATACTCTTTACTCTAGAAACATTTAGCTTACTATTTTTATTCTACATTAGAAGTAATGAGTTTGAGAGTTTGTTTGCACTTACTAAAAGAAAGTAATGGTCTTCGGGCTCTGCCCTGAGGTATTTAAAAATAGCTTGTTCATAGAACCTCTCCATTAGGTCCCAGTCTTCAATTATACCATGCCTAATGGGCCACTGTAGGAGAATAAAATCATTTGTTGTATTAGTAATAATACAAAAATTGTGAAATTTCATTAACAATCATGAGTAAAATTCATAATGATCAAGTCAAACAAAAATAAGTGATCAATAAAAGGATTATTACCTTAGTAGCATATGAAGGTTGGTTGATAGCTTCATCCCCAATAAAGAAATCAAGATCCTCCACACCCTTGCCTAACCTTTTCTGTGATTGGTCACCAACACTGGCTGACTCTTTGATGGCAATGGCTGATGGGATAATGAACTGAGGTTCTGTGTTCCCAGCATACCCCATCTTTGTGTAGCTGTTGCATTCAGGGGAGAAGTAGCAGTTATATTAAACAGGTCATTTATAGTAGCAAAAAAAGAATATAATTTATACACAAATAACTTTATATTTTGTCCCTAGCTGAGTCATTGTTAATTCCAAACATAGTAAAGCAAAAAAAAAAAATTTCTTTTTAATTAAAACAACTTCTATGATCATCGTTAGAGTGACTGTCAAAACCACTGAAGACCAGGGTAGAAAATAAAAGTAACTAAAGTTTACTAAATAAACGATAAAAAAAAACCCAGCCCTATTGGTAAAATGTGTTGTTTTATGCACAAAGATAAAAAAAAAGCTAAAGCCTGCTGGTATTCTTAGGGTTAAGACAGGCTGGCTTAATATATTGGACATACTTTCATTTGTTTTTGTGTTTTTGTTGTGTTTGAAATTTTAGAACTAGTGAATTGTGATAACTTGATAATGCTAATGGCATGTGATGTGGCCATAAAGAAGAAATGTCCTGTGATTCAAACAATTGTTGTGGTTATTTCTTTCAGTTGTCCATAAACTATAAAGGGAGTTCTCACTGCAAAGAATAAAAACTTTTCATGTCTTGACAAATCTCATTATACTTTTGCCAGACTAGATAGAATTGAATAGGCTAGACTCCAGGAAGTAGTCTAGGTGATTTTTTTTTTAAATTTAGAAAACAGGTGGTTCACAAAAAATAACCACAAAATAATCTACTTGATGTAGCCTACAACTGTAAAATCTACTCAATTGGCCTTCTACTTATCCTGCAGAAATACCTGGAATATCCATCATTTTCTCATCAGTAAACTTATTACTTTGGCATTAGGCTTAGATTTCATGATTTGTTTTTTTAAAATTAACAAAATGTACAATTTGTAGGCTAGTTTGTACTACAAAGTACAATGACTAGGCCCTAATTTAAAAAAAAATGATTCAGCTGAACAGGGTGATGATCTAGAAATTAAATTACGTCTACTTAGGCCTAAGGTTACTAATTATTCTTATAGACTTTAAATCTTTCTATTCTGATAATTATGACTTAAATTAGTTTTTATTTGTGTTGATGTTTGTCACACCGGTCCGGTAGTGTGTGTCGTGTGTCAACGCCCCTCTCTGTTGTCCATCATCGGGCTAAACTAATCCAATAAATATGCAATATAATTTTTTATGTACTTGAAATAGTGTTTTATACTTACCCTGTGCCATTGTCTATGACAACGGCTGGTAACCTATTCGCCATACCACTTAATTTTGAAGTTTTACTTTACGTAGATCTAGATCTACACAAACTTTGTTAAATCAGGAAGTAGAACTACACTAGAGGTAAAACAAAATGTAATCCAAATGAAACGGAAGTGTTGTTACCCAAAGCTAAATAGTACGACCAAATCGGAAAATATTAAATCAACAACACCCTTTTAAAAATATTTAACTAATAATAAATTAGTGTTATTAAATGCATATTCAAAACAATGAATATTCTTATTGTGTTATGTAATTAACTGTTAATTGCTGTTTTGTTTTAAAGATTAAAACATAAAAAAACTAAGTCGCAAGGTACGAGGTAAATTAGCCTATCCTTTACGGGAGGCAACTCAATATTACAAACGCGCTCAAACATTGTCGGACTTGTTTCTTAATATAGATTCTAGACGTGAATCACAATTTTAATGTTAGGCCTACAGTAATCTCTCACAACTTCGCGTTTATCGCGGCTCTGTACATCGCGGAATTATTTTAGCTATTCTCTTGTGTCATTTTGTGCAAAATAAGGCTTATGACACACTTGGATATGTCTCTTAAAAGCCCTCCTCTTATACGTCCTCACTAAAATACTCTAGTGAACCCATGGTAATGATAACTGTACATAATAGTACATAGAGTCTATGCCTTTTGATACGTGACTTTGTTTAATAAAAATTAGTTAATATTTAAATGTGACAAAGCCGACACGTTTATTTATTGGATATTAGCAGTTGGGGCGATGGTTTGTCCTCACTACTAATCAGACGCACATGGGTGTGCTGTATGAACACGTTGAGTGTACATTAATAACCCTCGGTAAAAGTAAAGTAGAACACCTTTCTTAATTCAATGGTCGTGTTACCTTGAGCAACCCGGGTTCAACCTTTAGCACCATATGCTATGGACATAGTGTGCTATCATATTCTTCTTTTAGAAGGACTCTGTACACTATGGACACGGTAGGCTACTTTATTAGATGACTAAACCAAACCAATGTCACACACTTCATTCTTGTAGTATAACTGGTGGCTTCATCGAGTACCCCACAACATCCTTGCGCAGTCGCGGAGCGGTGTTCTACTTTACTTTTACATAGGGTGATTAATGTCTAACTCTAACCCTAACCCTACAAAGTGCTTATACAGTGGCGCCCAGGTCTTAAAGGTCATTATACTTTCAGCTTAATTTTACCATGATCACTAGAGACAATTTCAAGTTTTATTTAGAATACTTAAAAAGTTCAGAACTGATTGAGAAGTAACTATACATCATTTAAAAAAACAAAATCATTGTATAAGTTTTCCATTCACTTTATTATGAATATTACAAGGAAATAAAACATGGAACATAAGATCACTTTTATGAATAATAAAATAGCTAAACCTGTCAGTCAAATACAGACTGATAAATATATTGATTTTTTTTTTTACTTTATAAGTAAACATGGTGACAGAAAACCCCCAACAGACATTTTCTCAAAAACCTTAAAATATCAAGTTATATGTACATACTAAATAAACAGTACAGGTAAAATAATGTTGTTTCCTAAAAATCACATACATTGAATGGGATAATAGAAATAAAAATAGAAATCTCATGAGGAATGATGTATTGGTGATACAGTTAATGGCAGATAATCGAGGAAATAAAATGATCTGAGACAAAAGGATATGGATGTCTAAGACAATTGGAACCCTAAATAGTACTGAAATCAAGTTTTTACAATGAGCATTTGTACTACTTTTAAATAAAATATTTAATACAATACTAATACTTACTGGCAGTATATAAAAATCTTAAAGTGGCATTCATAGTGTTAGACAAACTAAACATGAGGTTTAGTAAAGTTTTATTTTAATAGACTAAAAAACATTAACTTAAGAACACCTTCAGCCAATATTTTGAATAACATTTTTAAAGAATGAAGAAATTTGTTTTCAATCTCATGAACTTTGAGCTTAAGCTATTCTCCAATATTTGCAGCTATTGCACCAACTGAGGTTAAGTCTGATGAGGGCAATCTTCAAACCAAGAGTAGGGGAGGCAACGAAGGAGAAAGTTCACTAAATTTTGGTTGTGTGGTCCATGACTAGAGCTAAGTTCATGTCTGACCAAGTGGAGAGCAGATGACTACATGTATACCATAATAATCAAGATATAAATAATGAATTCGAATGACCAAAAAAAAAGGGGGTAAAGTTTTGCAAAGAAAACCATTCTAAAGCTGTTGAAGTTTGAATTAGAAAATCAGGGAATGAAACAATAAATGCATTTGTGGAAAGCTTAGAGTAATTTTTTTTTATCAGGCATTAACAATTTCAATTCCATGTGTGAAAAATGCTACTACTATCCATGTCATTACAATATTGATCCACTTCTTTGAAATAAAAATTTATAATTTGCTAATTTACTCACTTGGGAATGATGAAATACAATTGTTGGAATAACACAGCCATCACGATTTATGACATACATCACCAAAAATTTCAGATCACTTTAAAATCAGAAGCACATACCAAAATGACATGTCACAATTGTTTACTCAAACAATAAAATGGAATTGTAAAAAATAAAAATGTGGTTATCCATAAAATAAAGTCATGGTTTATATTTTTAAAAATAAAAATATTGTCAATTCAATACACATTATGCTGAAAAGGACCAACAACACTCCATTTTGGTAGTTAAAATAAATAACTCTCCACCACCTTCAAAAAATAATTAGAAACATTTCATGAAAAAATATTCGCACCCAAAATGTTTACGAAGTGTAATTGAGTGAGCAAAATAAAAATGCTTTATGGAAAACTTGTTTTTATATATAAAAGGTCAACATTCCTTATCTTTTGTTGACATTTGGGAATGTTAAAAAAGTGAATGTTACCATTACATGACTGGTCAAGAGAACAATGGGTTTAAAAATAACTTTTTAAACAAGACGTAGATTTTCGGCTAAAGATACAGCAACAAACAACAGGAGAGTTGCTTTAAAGTAAAAATGTAGGTTTTAGGGAGGGACTTCAATCGCGACTAGAATTTTAAAAAATATTTTTAAAGCAATGATTTCTGAAATACACGTTTTCAGTAAATAAAATGCAGTTGAGCTTTATTAACATAAGAAAATAAATAAAAGTAATATAAGGTATTCTTTTTGACATACAGATTCAAATCTGGTTATTGAAAACAAATGTAGATACGTATTTCAATATGACAGGCAAAATAAGTAATTAAATAATTATTTGAGAATAAAAAGGTAAAAAAAAATCAAAATAGAATCAAAACGACCAGAGGGTGTTATTTAAAAAAAATAATCAGAGGTGACTTTCCTTTATTTAGTCAAAGATTTTTATGGACATTATATCATCTACACTTTTGATACCAGGTTTACTGATCTAAGCCAAATGTTTAACATTTCTTACAAATATTAACATATATTGTTAAAAAAAAAGATAATGAAAATTACTTTGTCTAAAATATCTGACAACTTATTATTATTAAACAAAATTCAGCAAATAAAAGAAAAATCACTTATTTGTTATTATATAGAGCAATCACTATTTCTGAATATGTATCACAAAACACATTTCTAATTGGTAAATACATTTGGTTTATAATATTATTGCACAATGCATTCAACTCAACAGTTTAAAAAATATTCTCAAGACAGCCACAGCCTATTCAACATGGGGCAGGCATTAAGCTCACAAATTAAAAAAAAAAAAAAAAATTAAAGAACACAACACAGCCTCATGAGGATATAAATATTTACATCACTGTTGGCTTGCTTATCATTGGATAAATTTACACTGCCACCTCATGTAGGTTTAGTATTTTAAAAACTTGAAGGAATGTTATTTTTTAACCTCAGTAGTTTACAAACAATCTTACTGTTTTACTGTATAGTTTACAATGTTACTGATTTACTGAATAATTTTAAAGAATGGATATTTCTCGATTTCATTGCTTTGTTTTAATTTCTTCAAACTATTCTTTATAACCGAAAACAAATCTCACTCTCATAATAATATCAGTAAATAATATAATGATACAATATAAGAAAAAACAAAAACACTTTACCTTCATATCAGGGGCGTAGCGAGGGGGGGGGGGGGCGGGGGGTGCGGACCGCACCGGGTGACACCATTTAGGGGGGTGACACCAAGGCAAAAAATAGCAAAATATATAGAGAAAAACTCGAGGGGGGGTGCAAATCGAAAGTTTGAGGGGGGGGGTGCAAATCGAAAGTTTGAGGGGGGGGGGGGGGGGGGGGGGGTGCAAATCGAAAATTTGAAAGTTTGTCCCTGGGAAGGGTCTCTATGCCTCTGGGGGGGTGACACCATTAAGTGCCGCACCGGGTGACACCCGACCTCGCTACGCCACTGCTTCATATGCAAAGGTCAATGAAACACGTTAACGCTATTTCATCTGCATTATTAAAACTAGATTTGAAAGTGTAACTACATACTTCACTGTAAGATAAATCTTCATGATATAGTCAACTAAAAAATACCCCTATACAGCTTTGTATTTTGGAATATGTTCTTCCAATAAAAAAATGTTCTAGAGTTGTTATTGAAATGCAAAACTATGTCATCTCACTTGTTTTTTTTTTTCCAAAGCAATATATGAACATCTGAGAACTACAAAGATTTCTTACATATCTGTACTGTTCATGTTTAGAATTTAAGGATATGTAATTATAGGGAGCTCACTTGTGTGAAAAGTGTACAACTACAAACATTGAGCCTTCCATGCACAGGAAAACCATGAAAGATGTGACAAGACAGTTACTCATGAATGATTGTATCATCCAGTTCTAATAAAATAAAAAATCACCTTAAATTATCCAGTTAACATTTTGTAATTAAATACCTAGCTTAATTAAAGCATTAACAATTTTTGAGATGTAGGTAATACTAATCCTGCAGTCATTTGTACATTTTCAATCAAGAAAATGGACAAAGGCATAAATAAACATTGGCAAATGTAAACCTAAAGAGCATGAGATGAGAATACATTGCTGTTTTGGCTAGACTTGTCAGATCTCCTTATGCATCCGTCATATCGTCCTGCTTTCTGCCTATGGCGTCAGGGTTTGAGAGTGGGTCCAGGTCTGCAAACAAGTTGAACCAGGCAGACATGTCGGTCTGCTGTCCGCCCTGTGTAAGAGAATGAATCAAGTACAGTTAAATGTTTGATACACTAAAACCACTGTTAGATTTACATGAAGCATGCTATGTGACAGAACCATTAGTTTTTGCATATATTATCCCAGAATGTATAATAACTAAAGATATATAGCTTATATCCTGGGTATCAATGCAGTAAATTTTTATTTTAATTAATATATTATTTTAGCAACAAATATAATTTTTAAATCTTTGCCTATTAAGGTGAATGTTTTATTTTAGTTTTTGCGATGTGATCTATATTTATAATAATTTATATTATATTTTTCCAATGTGTAATTGTTTAGAAAAGTAAAAAAAATTAAATATGTTTTGCTTATATGCTAACCAGTAAAGGCAGAAGAAATAACATTAAAAATACACTGAATTCTTTACAGTTAAAATAAAAATGCTGGAACAAATTTATGATAAAACAATTCAGTAGCAATCAGGGGACATTACCCTAGATAGAGGTTGAGGTTTTGATTTCTGTCCCTTTTTACTCTGAGCTCCTGTCCCAGCAGCAGGAAGTCCCTGAGCTGGTAAAGCAGAGGCAGGGGATGTACTGCCAGTGGGGAGGAGGTCACCTGCTAATAAAGGTAAAAATTAAACAGCATTTACATAATATAACTTTTTTTTAAAACTAAACAAAATTTAGATATAAAAATCTGTTTTCATCTAACAAAACAATTTCACAATCACAAAATCTATTCAATTAAAATGAAGGATGAATGCAATTTAATTTTTGTTTAAACTGCTGCTTTACTAAAAAAAACAAAGTTGACAAAGACAAGACCTTACCCATGCCAGAACTCAGACTGGACATCTGTGTGTCCAGCAAGCTGGAGGGGAGGAACTCAGACCTCTGTCTGGCCACCTCGGGCTCCTGTGGGACCACGTCTGGCGTCATGCCGCTGTGGGCACCAAACACAGAGTTCCACTCCTGAGCAAACTCGTCCTCCCCGGTGGAGGGGGCATTGAGGATCTCATTGAGGAGTGTCATGTCATCCTTGTCAGCGTCGTCATCTACCTGCTGCAGTTGGTCTGTCAGTAAATCTCTTTCTTTGCCTGAAGAAAAACAAGGAGTAGATTTTAACCAGCTGCTGAGGTAGATACAGGAATGGGGGGGGGGGGGGGGTGTGCACAGTGTTATAACTGTGTCCAATGTTGTGCTAGAGGGTTACCCACCCCCTACCCTCCCATCCCGTACCTGAACTGGGACAGGGTCCCATCCTACAAAAGACTTTTGAACCAAAATTTGAAACTTCAATACAACTGCATGATAGTATTTGAAAAAAACTATCACATATTGTAGATCCACTTTTACTTAATCTAACTTGAGTAAGTTACCCCATCCTAGCTGGGTATGCCCAGGTATTTTCTACATATTCTAACATAAGATCTGAACTTGACTTTTTTGGTTAGTAGCTGTACACTCTAACATTTGACCGCACCATCCCATATTTATATACATTATATTTAAAAGTATTTCATCATCATTCGTTCTTTAGTCTCAAAAGATGTTAATGTTTGTGCCGCGGAAATTCAGATGCAAAGCCTGGGTAGTTAGTTGAGAAGAGCCAGATGTTGCCCATGTATCAGGCCCTTCTTTGCACACAGCTGATAGGTCCACAAGGCTAAGGGAGGCATGTTACATATTATTTGTTTCTATATATACTATCAGCTCTACATCAACTTATAACCTCCTCGCTATCCCCCTCCCATGTCAAAATATAAGTTACAAATCTAAACTCGGAGCTAATATTGAACAACCCACCCAGCCATACTACACAACTGATATCGACAACTCTACTTCACCTGGTCATAAAAGGAAACTTTTTTAACAACACACACACACAACAGACTTTCCTCCATTCAACTTCGTGCGTTAAACTGCCACTTCAAATCAAAACTTTGAAGATCAATACATTCCCAGCCAACTGATTAGCATGTAAAGAAATGATCCACATTTCCCCTAAACCTGTCTGGTAGATTAGCCAGACATAATCTACAGACCATTAACAGGGACAGGGCACAAGTTTTTGCCCAGCTGTGCTGTATATATAACATAAACAGCCTTAAGCCACCCCTTTTCATAGAGGAGAATACCAGTAAAAAATTCTCATTCACTCTATTTACACCAGCACACAAAAACAGTCTAAGGTTTGCGCCAAGTCTATACACTTGTGATCAATGCTAAAGAATGTGATTTATTTACAAGGGAAACTACATAATAGCCATGTTGAAATACAGGGTTAATAGTAAAGGAATTACACATAATAAAATCAGACAGTATTAATTGAAATAATAAATATTAATAGTAAAGGAATTACACATAATAATAAAATCAGACGGTATTAATTGAAATAATAAATAGTTAAGTCCAAAGCAATGCATATTTCTAAAGTCTTAACCCACAACAGTACTACTGTACTAGCATCTAACAACCAATAAGAAGACTACAACTGTACCAGTTAGTATAGGCTATAACTGTACTAGCATCAATAGGCCATAACTGTACCAGTATCTAAAGTCATAACTGTACCAGTATCTAAAGCCCATAACTGTACCAGTATTTAAACCCATGATGTGCCAGTATCTAAAGCCCATGATTGTACTATTATCTAAAACCCATAACTGTACCTGTATCTAAAGCCTATAACTGTACCAGTATGTAAAGCCCACAACTGTACCAGTATCTAAATCCCATAGCTTTACAGCCCACAACTGTACCAGTAACTAAAGCCTACAACTGTACCAGTATATAAAGCCCATAGCTGTACAGCCCATAACTGTACCAGTAATTAAAGTCCACAACTGTACCAGTAAAGCCCATAACTGCATCAGTATCTAAAGCCCATAACTGTACCAGTATCTATAGCCCACAACTTTATTTAGAGCCCAGTTTTACCAGTACGGGCATCTACACCTATAACATTATCTTAGCCTAGAACTGTACCACGAACGAGTCCACACCCCCCTACGGCCGCCAACATGAAATGAAATGTTTTAACGCCTGCACATGACCCGTGTAATACCGACAATCTGATCTCTGATTGACATCGATTATTCACCCCCCCCCCCCCTCCCCCACATTACGCAAGCCGATCAGATTTCACAAAGGTCGGCACCACAAGGGAAAGGCCTGTCTGTAGTAAGTCCCACCAGATCACGACTAGAACGGCCGGGTAGCGACCTCGGGTACCTGGCGACAGTCGTAAATGTACAGACGGCGAGGCGGACGTCGATAACTGTGTCCATTAAAGGTAGGTAACTCTGTAATTAAAATATCGCCTAGTTAGTTTTAGTGGAGAGAGGCGGAAAGGCCGGCATACGGAACCACGTTTAATTAATTTTTTTTTTAAAATCGGTATTTTTTTTCTTACGACGACGAGAATAAACAATTGTATTAAGCCGTGTCTAAAAACCCATATATTTTAAAACTAGCTTTGATACAACAAAAGTAATAAAATGGATAATACTAAGTAGTATGCTACATAAGGGCCGAGTTGGGCTGTTGACTCCTATTGTATAACAAAGGATAACTAAGAACCAATGCACTGTACCACAGGAGACCACTGACTCAAATCTTTGTACAATGGACCGCTAACTCCCACTCCACTCCAATGGACCACCGCAATCCCACTGTACCACAAATGACCACAACGTACACTGTAGCACAATGAACCACAACAAACACTGTAGCACAATGGACCACGACGTCCCACTGTACCACAATAGACCACTGTCCTACAATGGACCACCGAGTCCCACAGCGGACCGATTAACATGCTCGCGATCACACAACGCTGACACGGCGGTATCGCTGGGCCCTTAAAAAATCTTATCGGGTCATCAAACTGACGCTGACATTAAATGTCAAGGGCCTCTTGTATGTACAGTTGCCATGACGATGAGAACGCATTCACTTATTGTTTTTTTTCCCTGGTCTTGCAAATAAAAAAACAACTAATTTTTCTTTTAAAAGCAGTATAAGAAGTACAAACATAACTAATTAAAAAAAAAACAGTAATAGAAGTACACAATAATAACTGTATTTTTTTTATAAAAACAGTAACAGAAGTACAAACATAATAACTAATTTGGTTTTATAAAAACAGTAATAGACAAACATAACTGTAATTTTTATAAAAACAATATCAGAAGTACAAACATAATAACTGTAATTTTCTATAAAAACAGTATCAGAAGTACAAACATAACTAATTTTTATAAAAACAGTATCAGAAGTAAAATCATTCCACTCTAATATAGATCTAAGAGTGTGTTTACGGGCAAGAAATAATGGACCAACCCCCATTAATAAAGCTGAAACTGAATGCGTCCGTCGCGTTACATTCACCTTCACGTCAAGGCGTTCTGACTTTCTCTCGCTGATTCACGGCAATCAACGGGGCCAGGGAGATCGTACTGTCACAATGGCCGACCTTTTGACTAGGATTAGCGCTAGGCTGAGGATTTACGTGTCTGCTACATACGAAATCTGTATGTAGAGAGGGGTTATGTGTGTGTGTGTGGGGGGGGGGGGGGGTTGATCCACAAATGACGTATGTGCTATTAGGGTACAGGTGTACAGTAGTTATGTCAGTCGTGAATGGTTGTTATAAAGTTGAATGAGCAAAAAAGTGCATGATTTCTTAGACACGTAGTAGTTGGTAACTAGATCGGTACACAGAGGGTGATTAAGATTATTTTTCGGTATACTTTAGGCGGGCTATTTGTTTGTTCAGAAAATGTCAGATGTCTAGTGATGTATTAATTTAAATACAAATCATGGCTAATTATAAATTATCATTAATTTTTTAAACACATTAACAGGAGAAGATGTCAACAACTGGAATAAAGAAGGTACCACACACATAAGTCAAAATTGGATTGATATTATTGTCTACAAAACTCAAGCTTGCGCTAAACTGACCATCTGACCAACCCACGGTAAGAGAGAATGAAGAAAAACCCAGCATGTAAAAAACGGACCAGCCACCAGCTGACCCTGGCCGAACTAGTGGACTCGGACTTTGTCCTGTGTGGACAGTGCAGGAAGGTGTACACCCACCCTGTCAGCCTGCCGTGTATGCACGTCTTGTGTCTGGACTGTGTGGTAGACCTAGTTCTAGGCCAGGCGAACGGCTCTCTCAGCCTTACTCAAGACCAGAGTCCCAGTTCAATCAACACATCTAAGGTCAACGGTAGAGAAAAGGGATTGGTACAGGGTCAGATACTGAAGGAAAGCAAAGTTAAAGACGACTGGCAGGTGATGTTAAACTTGCTGAATGACGGTAAAGACGTTTCGATTAGCCTGTTGTGTCCGACGTGTAACACATCATTTCACTGTACCGGCACGGCAACACAGGAAGCTAAGGACAGAAGTCCGTCAAACGCAGCTAGGTCTATGACTCCTATAAGACCAGATGTCGCTAAAGACGATGGATCTAAAGCTATAAACCATGAAACTAAAACTATAACAGAAACCGAAGCGATGGTTAGAGTTATGATCCGAGGAATCTTAGAAAAACTTCTTCCCGTCAACCCCTTCATAGAGTCTCTGTCTCAGCTCCGCCAATACAAGCATCAGACGTACAGGGAGTGCGTCTACTGCCAGACGGACGGCGACCTGGCGCCGGCCACGGGACTGTGCCTAGACTGCCAGGACGACCTGTGCGACGCCTGCACCAACTCGCACCGGAAGACGCGGCTGACGCGGCACCACAGCGTCGCCACCTACACCAGCATCCAGCAGGGGCTCTTCGACCACGACATCCGGTCCCACCACGTGGTGCCATGCCCGGCCCACCCCCACGCCCCCGTCTCCCAGTTCTGCAGCGAGTGCCTGCGAGTCGTGTGCCAGACATGCGCCTCCAGAGACCACAAAGACCACGACACATCCCCGATAGAAAAAGCCAGGGACAAATTCCTCCCCGATATAAAACAGATACAGCAAGCCCTGACAAGAAAAATACCTTTACTATCTGTACAGGGTAAATCACTACAAGAACAAATCTCAAAACTAAACACAACAAAAGCCCAAGTCGTCGCCGGTATTCATTCCCAAGTGGAGCAGATCCACAAAATGGTCGATAAATACAAAGATCACATTCTACTAAGGCTAGATGATGCTTGTCACACCGAACAAGCGATAATTCAGGAGAAAATCAACCGGACCATGACGTCACAAAAGTCCTTGACCGCAACGTCACGACTGCTGCTGTACCTGGCCAACGTGGGCCGCCCTGACGAGCTACTGGCCCTCTACCAGCCCGCGCTACAGGCGTACAACCAGCAGGTGGCCGGACAGCCCGATACCATGGCAACCAGGCTGGCGTCCATGTTCACACCAGGGCCGTCGTCAGAGCTGAACGTCAAGATCCTGGTGGGCATGTTGGACCTGCTGCACGTACCCCCAGACCAGGAGGACGTTCACAAGGTTAGAAACTCGCTTGTGGCGTTTTTTTTATGTATTTTTTAAAAAAACAGGACACCCCATTACAATAAACGAAGTCAATTTTTGGGTGTAGGGGATGTATGGTTGCAGCGATGCAGTTTTAAGAATCGCTTTAAACATATATTTGTTGCTAGCTTGACAGTGCAGTGCGATGCTCATACAGCGATCCCATTTTATATGCTTAAGTAGTATGTTCTAGGTTTAAACTCTTTATTAATTTAAATATAATGTGTTGCAAATGTGTGGGAGGTCGGGAGAGGTAAGGATTGAGACATGCTACTCGGCACACATTTTCTATTTTTTTTATTACGTTGACAAACCTTTTTAACAATAGTTAGACTCAGTTATTTTTCAAATTCGTAAAATTGTATCAGGTCAGTTTTGTGGAGGGGGGAGCCAAAATTAATTATCTATTGAATCCTTTAAAATGTACACTACAAAAATGAAGCACTTCGGTAAACCAATAAGGTAACATTCAACTGTCTTGTATCTCGTTACAGGCACGTCTGACGGTGACCACCCTAATGCCGGTGACCTTGACCCCACCAGAGCTGAAACGGACCTTCACCGCGGTGTCCAGACAAGACTCCAACACCGTGTACCCGTGCGGGCTGGCCGTCAACAAGAGCATGATCGCCGTCGTAGACCGAGAAAACGCCAGGGTCAAGATCTTCAGCCCCAGCGGTCAGTTTCTCGGGGAGTTCAGCGGGGAGGGAGAGGAAAGACTGAAGAAGCCTTTCGGCGCCGTGTTTCTCCCCAGCGGCGCGCTGGCCGTGACCGACTCGGAGGCTGGCTCGGTCAAAGTGTTCGACTGGACGGGCAGGTTCATCACCAACTTCTCGGGAGATCTGCGACACCCAAGGGGCGTTACTCTAAACAACCAAGGGGAGGTGATCGTAGTCGACGGGCACCTCAAGTATTTAAGCGTACACGATGCTAACACTGGTGAAATGATACGGAAAATTTATCCTAAAGTTTCTGATGTAGACGAAGACAATGATAGAACACCGAGTAAGAATCATGTGCTAACTGACCCTTATTATATAGCAATCACAAGCCAAGACAACATCATTGTGACAGACATGGCCTCACCTCATCTCAAGATCATGAACCAAAACGGGTTCATCCTCGCTGCATCTGTGCAGTATGGCATACGGGAGGAAGAGGCTCTGCATCCAAGTGGATTATGTGTGGATAAGTTTGGCCAGATCCTACTGGCTGACACCAACAACAGCCGCATCCACCTGGGACTGCCCAATGGCCAGATGCCAAGTTTACTGGCCACAGAAACAGATGGCCTCTCCAAGCCAGTCAGCCTGGCCATCAATGGTGAAGGCCATCTGATAATAGCCCAGAGTGGTGGAGAAATCAGGGAACTTAAATACTTATAATATTGCCCACACTCAAGCCAATGTGGCAAGCTTGAATGAATTGACTAGCCTAGAGAATCAAATATTTGGCGACATGCAAGCCAATATGGCAAGCTAGGCAGTCTTGTTTGATATGAAAATCATTCAGCGGAATCGATGCCGATTATAAAGCAGCAAAAGCAAATTTATTTAACGTTGCTTTATATGATTGTTATATTATTTTTGGGTAAATGATACCACACTTATCATTATGTTACAGTAATATAAAAATAGGTATTTTTGCTTGACTTACAATTACATTGAAATCATGCAATATGTCATAGAATAATCATACACCTAAATAGACATTCAGCACCTATATAGTATTAATTACATATTACTAATGAATATTTCAATACACATTTAAAAAAAACAGAATGTTTTACTGTTTGCATTTTAGTTTGTAGAATTAGTTAAAATTACATCATTTTATATATTGTTGAGACTTGATGCTGAAATGTGTTTAATAATGTAACTAAATTCCCTGTTCAATAGTGAACGTAGCCTCCAATATTTGTAACATTAGTATTGATGTTAATGAAATATAGGTAAGTCATCATGACAAAATGAAAACTTTTATTATAAATTATAAAATTTCATCTGAATGGCTTTCAAAAAACTTCATGCAAATGAACAAAAAGAATAGTTTTGATTCACCATAAATACCATCTGAAGGCTAATGTTAACACAGGTGGAAGTTTGCCATTGTCTCTTCATTATTTAGGGGTGTACTGGGCTGCTGGGAAAAATGTTAATGTTGCTTATTGGGATTTGTCAAGCGACCTTTAACTTTGTAGGCATTTTCCTCAGGATTGGGTGAACAAAATACACCATGAGAATTTAAGTCGAGGGGCCACTTTTATTTATTTCCTGGACTACTGGACACACCCAGCCCACACACCCAGCCCACCCCGGTCTGTGTTGGTAAATATACTCTTATGCTACTAAAGTATAAAATATTTAATTTTTTGTAACACCAAATAACTAAGAAACAAGTTTCATTGACTTACCGTCACCTTTCTGTATCTCCTTGTTCTTGGCTGCGGCTTCCAAAATTTTACCAGTGAAATCAAAATCATCGTCTTTTGACATGGCGTCGTCCTCTGTAAAATCCATGAAAGGCCCAAACTCGGAGTCTTTATCTTCACTACTTTTAGCTTTGGTGACTGTAGAGAAATTATGTGCAACATTAGATATAGATTTTTGAACTAAAAACACACTCCACCCAAACAGTCATCTTTGGATTCAATGTTTTAAAGTTATAGAAGACCAAAAAGTTAGCTCTAGCATTAAGACCTAAATCAACCAATGTATTTAAAATCAAGTCTAAAAATTTTTTATATGATATTATATTTTTCCAGAAATGAGGAATTCACTAGAGAATTTAATGAACCAGAGGTAACTGTTGTACATTAAAAGCTGTAAACAAATGAAAATCAACTTCTTCATTATGACTTGACTTTTTTAGTGTTCTATTTTTAGCGCAATTTCCATACTGGACAATTGCGATTATTAACTCGTTATTTCTGGATGGATGGATGGATGTGCGCAGCTTTAAGTCGTATCTCCTCCTCAACGAAGCAATATCGAGGACTAGATCCAAAAGCAAATAAGTTAAGCAAGTTCCAAGGATGATTGTGGGCCAAAAAAATTCCCGGAATTCCTTCCTGGATTTCCCCAAAAAGTCAAAAAACCTCGAAAAAATGCAGTTTTTGGCACATATCTCGGCAACCAGACCACTTAGCGACTTGAAACATTTAGCAATCGATTCCTGCCATAATTTAGAACAATATTGCTGAAGAAAGTTTTCAAAAATATCCTTTTGTTCAGTCACAAAAAATAAATTAAGGAAATTGCGTTTAAATTGTCACTAGACTTTTTATTAACTTGTTTTTTAAAGAGATACAGCTGGAATTTGACAGCACAGACCTAAATGGCTTATATTAAAAACTGGGTATGTGTAAAGAAACCTGAAAGTCTAAAACTAGACATTACCTTTCTGTTGGTTGAGCCTCAAGTTGGCCAGCAGGAATTTGATGGCACAGACCTAGATTGGCTTATGTTAAAAAATGGGGATATTTAAAGAAACCTGAGTCTAAAAATAGACATTACCTTTCTGTTGGTTGAGCCTCAAGTTGGCCAGCAGGAATTTGATGGCACAGACCTAGATTGGCTTATGTTAAAAAATGGGGATATTTAAAGAAACCTGAATCTAAAGCTAGACATTACCTTTCTGTTGGTTGAGCCTCAAGTTGGCCAGCAGGAATTTGATGGCACAGACCTAGATTGGCTTATGCTAAAAAATGGGGATATTTAAAGAAACCTGAATCTAAAGCTAGACATTACCTTTCTGTTGGTTGAGCCTCAAGTTGGCCAGCAGGAATTTGATGGCACAGACCTAGATTGGCTTATGTTAAAAAATGGGGATATTTAAAGAAACCTGAATCTAAAGCTAGACATTACCTTTCTGTTGGTTGAGCCTCAAGTTGGCCAGCAGGAATTTGATGGCACAGACCTAGATTGGCTTATGTTAAAAAATGGGGATATTTAAAGAAACCTGAAAGTCTAAGACTAGACATTACCTTTCTGTTGGTTGAGCCTCAAGTTGGCCAGCAGGAATTTGATGGCACAGACCTAGATTGGCTTATGTTAAAAAATGGGGATATTTAAAGAAACCTGAAAGTCTAAGACTAGACATTACCTTTCTGTTGGTTGAGCCTCAAGTTGGCCAGCAGGGCCTCATCAAAGGCTGCTGAGTCTCTGGCATCCCTCCCTTCCTCCGTCTCATCCATGGAAATCAGGCTGCAACAAAACAATCTTAAGACATTTTACAATCAACTCTCTCATCCATGGATATCAGGCTGCAACAAAACAATCTTAAGACATTTTACAATCAACTCTCTCATCCATGGATATCAGGCTGCAACAAAACAATCTTAAGACATTTTACAATCAACTCTCTCATCCATGGATATCAGGCTGCAACAAAACAATCTTAAGACATTTTACAATCAACTCTCTCATCCATGGAAATCAGGCTGCAACAAAACAATCTTATGACATTTTACAATCAACTCTCTCATCCATGGATATAAGGCTGCAACAAAACAATCTTATGACATTTTACAACCAACTCTCTCATCCATGGAAATCAGGCTGCAACAAAACAATCTTATGACATTTTACAACCAACTCTCTCATCCATGGAAATCAGGCTGCAACAAAACAATCTTATGACATTTTACAATCAACTCTCTCATCCATGGATATCAGGCTGCAACAAAACAATCTTATGACATTTTACAACCAACTCTCTCATCCATGGATATCAGGCTGCAACAAAACAATCTTATGACATTTTACAATCAACTCTCTCATCCATGGAAATCAGGCTGCAACAAAACAATCTTATGACATTTTACAACCAACTCTCTCATCCATGGATATCAGGCTGCAACAAAACAATCTTATGACATTTTACAATCAACTCTCTCATCCATGGAAATCAGGCTGCAACAAAACAATCTTATGACATTTTACAATCAACTCTCTCATCCATGGAAATCAGGCTGCAACAAAACAATCTTAAGACATTTTACAATCAACTCTCTCATCCATGGAAATCAGGCTGCAACAAAACAATCTTATGACATTTTACAATCAACTCTCTCATCCATGGAAATCAGGCTGCAACAAAACAATCTTATGACATTTTACAATCAACTCTCTCATCCATGGAAATCAGGCTGCAACAAAACAATCTTATGACATTTTACAATCAACTCTCTCATCCATGGAAATCAGGCTGCAACAAAACAATCTTAAGACATTTTACAATCAACTCTCTCATCCATGGAAATCAGGCTGCAACAAAACAATCTTATGACATTTTACAATCAACTCTCTCATCCATGGAAATCAGGCTGCAACAAAACAATCTTAAGACATTTTACAATCAACTCTCTCATCCATGGAAATCAGGCTGCAACAAAACAATCTTATGACATTTTACAATCAACTCTCTCATCCATGGAAATCAGGCTGCAACAAAACAATCTTATGACATTTTACAATCAACTCTCTCATCCATGGAAATCAGGCTGCAACAAAACAATCTTAAGACATTTTACAATCAACTCTCTCATCCATGGAAATCAGGCTGCAACAAAACAATCTTATGACATTTTACAATCAACTCTCTCATCCATGGAAATCAGGCTGCAACAAAACAATCTTATGACATTTTACAATCAACTCTCTCATCCATGGATATCAGGCTGCAACAAAACAATCTTATGACATTTTACAATCAACTCTCTCATCCATGGATATCAGGCTGCAACAAAACAATCTTATGACATTTTACAATCAACTCTCTCATCCATGGATATCAGGCTGCAACAAAATAATCTTATGACATTTTACAATCAACTCTCTCATCCATGGATATCAGGCTGCAACAAAACAATCTTATGACATTTTACAATCAACTCTCTCATCCATGGATATCAGGCTGCAACAAAACAATCTTATGACATTTTACAATCAACTCTCTCATCCATGGATATCAGGCTGCAACAAAACAATCTTATGACATTTTACAATCAACTCTCTCATCCATGGATATCAGGCTGCAACAAAACAATCTTATGACATTTTACAATCAACTCTCTCATCCATGGATATCAGGCTGCAACAAAACAATCTTATGACATTTTACAATCAACTCTCTCATCCATGGAAATCAGGCTGCAACAAAACAATCTTATGACATTTTACAATCAACTCTATATACTGGATTAAATTTATCCAGTCCTTTCAATCTATGACATAATTTTGTAACAGGTAGGGATAGAGCTAGTGTTAGACAGGGATAGATGTAGGTTTAAGGTTAGTGTTAGGATTGATGTAGGGGTTAGCTATAGGTTTGTGGTTGGGGTCTGGGTTCTTCAGGAAAGGGGGGGGGGGGGGGTAATTGACAGTGGGTAATGTGGGGGGGGGGGGGTGTTGGGAAAGGGGATAAAGTAATTTCCTAGACCCATGTGGTAAGTGTCTCTCAGCATATCATCAGGTATCAGCTTGCTCAACCAAAATGACTTGTTTCTATTTAAGATTTAACACACCTCAAAATTGAAAAAAAAAAAAAAACTCAACGTGCAAAAGTAAACAAAAAGGGAGCTAACTACCCACAAATTAAATAAAAACACAAAACAAAGAGGAACTAAGAGAATCTAAGGAGCAAATGACAATAGCTTTTCACTGCAAAACATGCGAAGCATAAGAGATAGGAGATAACTGGTACACTAACGTAAAACCAGAAGGTAGAAATTTAGCAGGTTCAAGCTAAAAGATTAACTACACTGAAAATAAAAATCACGCATGCATTAATGTGCAGCATGCATGCATTAATGTTTTTCAGTTTACTGAGTTATTTACAATTAACAATCAACATTTAAAAATGACAAATTAAAAATGTAGCAATTTTAAAGTTGAAACTATTGAAATAATAAATGTATTTTGCTGAAAGCAGTGAGCCATATGACAGTTCCCAGCCAGTTTGTGTGCAGGATAAGTAGAAAGGGGGAAACCTCGATGTGTATAAAGTTATCACCTTTCCTCTTCAGATTCTTCCCCAGCGTACTTGGTCAAAACGGCCTGCTCGTCCTGATCATAGCTATACACAGTAGAGATGGAAGCCCGCTCAAAGTTCAAATCAGACTTCAAACCCCTATCTGCTAGCAGTTTCTCCGTGGCACTGTTTAAACTATCATCCTCCCCAAGACCGAGTAAATCATCAACATCTGGCTGGCTGTTTGTTTCAGTCTGGCGCGTGTTGGGTGGCGCTGACAAGCCGGAGGCTTTCTTCCAATAATCTGACGCATCTTTCTTCAACCAGGGGGAATCTGTTTTTAATTTCATACTGGACCAGGATTTGGAGTCCTTTTTGGACTTGTCATTACTGGATCTGTCTGATCTTTCTCCCCTTTCATGTTCTTCAGTGCTAGATCTGATTCACGCATGGAATGGGTGTAACAACAATAGAGAATCTACCTCAACTTCTAGCTAAAAACAACTATAATATTCTATGTAAACAATAAGAAAAAAATATATATAAGAATAGAGCAAGTCAATGGACGAAAATCTAATTACACAGTTACATGAACACATATACATCAACTAAACATAAGAAGAAAAAAAAAAGCATACGTGTCATCAAGTTCATCTTTTTCTGATGGATCTTTGTTTGAAGACTCTAACGCCAGTTTCTTACTTGTCTCTGTTAATTCCTGATATTGGCAGAAGTGGCAACAAGGTTTTTTTAGAATAAAAGTATATGTGCTGATAGAAACACATGCTAGTTAAACAACACAATTATTAAAATAGCATAATATTAGAGAGATAACACAACTAGGGAAAATAAGTTCTATCAACAATATAGTAAATTCCAAATTTAAAGTGAGAACAGATTTCTTAAATTTGCATACAATCAAACCCAGTTGAGAGGAACTAACATTGTAATTATCCAAATATATATAAGAAACTGAATAGTTTAGAAAATGAAAGTTAACCAAAATATAGTTGAAGTCAAAGAGCCTCTATTTAAACAATTATGATAAATTTGCTAAATTTTACTGATCAGATTAATGTACTTATATCCCTTAAATCTTTAACCCCTTCCCCCCCCCCCCCCATCAAGACAATATCCAAATAAAAATCTACTCACTCTTAACATGTTAAACAAAAATTCACTGAACCTGAACATGTTAAATAAAAATCCACTCACCCTCAACATATTAAACTCATAATACTGATATCCCTTGAAGCTCTCGGCCACCGCGGACATGGTCCTGGAGGTCTTCTCCCAGTAGTGTAGCAGCATGGTCTGGTAATTGGCCAGCACGTGGGAGAACATGTTGCACCGGCTGGCGGCCAGCAGGTCCACCTTCTGCATCACGTCCAGCTTCAGCTTGTCAAACCTGCTCTTGGTCTTACGCACCTGGCCCTGGACCTGGGAAGCAAATCTTGTTGTTAGTGGTGGATTAAACATGGACCTGGGAAGCAAATGTTGTTGTTAGTGGTGGATTAAACATAGGCTCTGGACCTGGGAAGCAAATGTTGTTGTTAGTGGTGGATTAAACATAGGCTCTGGACCTGGGAAGCAAATCTTGTTGTTAGTGGTGGATTAAACATAGGCTCTGGACCTGGGAAGCAAATATTGTTGTTAGTGGTGGATTAAACATGGACCTAGGAAGCAAATCTTGTTGTTAGTGGTGGATTAAACATGGACCTGGGAAGCAAATCTTGTTGTTAGTGGTGGATTAAACATGGACCTAGGAAGAAAATCTTGTTGTTAGTGGTGGATTAAACATGGACCTGGGAAGCAAATCTTGTTGTTAGTGGTGGATTAAACATGGACCTGGAAAGCAAATGTTGTTAGTGGTGGATTAAACATGGACCTGGAAAGCAAATGTTGTTAGTGGTGGATTAAACATGGACCTGGGAAGCAAATCTTGTTGTTAGTGGTGGATTAAACATGGACCTGGAAAGCAAATGTTGTTAGTGGTGGATTAAACATGGACCTGGAAAGCAAATGTTGTTAGTGGTGGATTAAACATGGACCTGGGAAGCAAATGTTGTTAGTGGTGGATTAAACATGGACCTGGAAAGCAAATGTTGTTAGTGGTGGATTAAACATGGACCTGGGAAGCAAATGTTGTTAGTGGTGGATTAAACATGGACCTGGAAAGCAAATCTTGTTAGTGGTGGATTAAACATAGGCATACAGGAGCTAAGAATCAACCTATCATGTGACTGGTGGTGTATTGGTTTAAATAGATAACGGGAGCTATTAATTAAGTTAAGGATGGCGTGGTCAGGTGGTAGAGAGCTTGACTGCCATCCCAAATGTCTAGAGTTTGGATCTAGGTCCAAACTTGAGACTTTTGAAACGTCCCTGGGACCAGCCACCCTCATTTACTCATGTCAAGAATCATATGGCTTTAATTGATCTTCCTATTCATCATCAGGTCTAATGGGGAACTTTACTAACTTTACTTATCAAGTCATGTCAATGGAGGTGATAGGGAAAAAAGGGTAACATGTTAGCATTTTTTATTATCTTATGGTAAAAAAAGTGAATTATCATGATGTTTGAAATAAAGGTCTTAAATAACCATAATTAAAATTTGGTAAACAACTAGGCCTACTTAATACTGCAACTATAAAATGAAAGTACTAGTAAAACTTTCATATCATAAATCTTACAATGATTATCAAAATAAAAAATATGTATTTCTACTATAAAACATTTTTAAAAATGTTTCAGTATTATTTTGAAACTAACCTTCCTGAATTTCTCCAACTGCTTAAACATATCTGGATCAAGCTCTTCAGAAACATTTTTCATCCAGAGCAGAGCGCCTCTGTACTCTGTTCTGGCACTCTCCATCCGGTTGATTGTAACCAGAGTGTCAGAGACAGCCCTGTAGCGGAATGTCTCCACCTCCTGGTACAGCCTGCGCAGGGGGTTGTGGAGTGCCAGTCTGTAGTGAGGATATGATAATTAGATTAGTTATTTTTAGAGAAACTGTAGCACATTTCTATATTGTTTTTATTAGTGAGATAATTAAAATAAAAGAAATATTCTATTCATAAATGTAATAAATGCTCTTAATTGCAATTATATTTAGCTATTAATATGGTTAATTTATAGTTTATATGTAATTAAACATTTTTATATCTCCTTTGAAGATGATATGTAGTATTTTCAAATTAAATTTTTTGATTAAAAAAAATATTTTGAATGTACTTTATAATCTATTCAGTACTAAAGTGGACAGACATTAACATTTTTTCACTGTATACTACTTATTGCCTGTCACAGATATGAGAGGTAGATAGCTTTATATTATGTAAATATTTCTTTTAACACTATAGGAAAAGACATGGAAATCTTCTAACTCTTGTGCCAGGGGGACAAAGTAAAAAGAGGCATACAATCCAAAGCCCACCTCTCCTGAGCTGTAAATATTTCTCTTTTAACACTAGAGGAAAATCTTTGAACTCTAGTTCCAGGAAGACAAAGTAAAATCCAAAGCCCACCTCTCCTGAGCTGTAAATATTTCTCTTTTAACACTAGAGGAAAATCTTTGAACTCTAGTTCCAGGAAGACAAAGTAAAATCCAAAGCCCACCTCTCCTGAGCTGAATTGCTCTCAGCCTTGCCCACTGCTGCCATCATCTTGCCTGCCCTGGTCTTGTCCTTGTTACTGTGGGCTTTCAGCAGTCTGCCCATTGTGTTTTCTTCCTGAGACACAACTGAAATAATATTTTTCAAAACCTGATCAGGGTGGTGAACTTCATTTTTTAAACTATAATTTGCAACTAGATGGAAAACACAACTTTAAAATAGTTTAAAATTATCCCCTGCACCAAAATATGTCTTGGTACTTTGATAACAAAGATAACAAAAAGGTTTTAGTGTTAAATTACCCCCCCCCCCCCCCGGTACTTTGATAACTAAATGGTTTTAGTGTTAAATACTGCATTATGCTGATATCTCAATATTTCTTTTTATTAAAAAGGTTTTAATGACAAATTATCACAAAATGCCTTATTTCTATATCAAAATGGTTTCAAAGTTAATTACCACATAATCTGTCCTGGTATTTCTCTATCACATGCAGCAGTTCCATACTCGATCTTTGGATGGCCTTGAACACCTGTCAAAAAATATTAAAGAAGTCTGGTTCATTGGTCAAGTGATTTATATTTAGTTTAGCTAAGTAAGTTATATATGCCTGGTGCTACAATATAATGTTTTTGTTATTACAAGATTATTGGACTATGGCCCCTTGAGTCCACCCAGGTGTCATTCTCCCTGAGTCCGCCCAAATCTGATGGGTACCTCAATAAGATCTCACTACACATTTTCTTTAAACAAGCAAAGTCATAAAACAGGAGGGGAAGAGGCGCCATTCAAATATGAGCAGAAAACCGGAAAAAGTGGATCGGCTGAAAAGATTTTCAGTTGGTTCGGCTAATTTCCTAATTTTTTTTGGTGGAAAATTTCTCTTAGATGGAAATGGCTGATTTCTGGAAAAAGGCAGAAAAGTTACATCTATGTTTAAATGTAGTAATGTAAGAAAAAGATAACTTTACATCTTCCTTAGGGACTGTCAGGTCATAATTTAAATAAAATAATAAATCTTACATTACAATGCTACAGACAAGACATTACCTGCAGTTTAAGTTTAGCATCCACCTGAAGGGGAACTTACTACAATACAGACAGAGCATTACCTCCAGTTTAGCATCCAACTGAGAGTCTGAGGCCACAACATGTTCATCTTCCTTTTTCCCTAATTTCTTTATCACTGCCTGCTTCGTTGTCCAATATGTCTCCTTCATTTTGTGTAGTGTTGAGGTGTTGGCGTTCTCAACAAAGCGATCATAGTTGGATCCAGAGTAGCCATACATCCTGTATTGACAATAGCGTTTACATACAACTGCATTAAATTTCTTAATTAATTTTTTCCGTAATGAGAATTTTGAAGACTACTTAAAGAGTAGATCCAAAAATGTGCAAGAAAAACATAAGCAGTAAATACTAAAACTACTACTATTATACTACTATTTAAAACACACACATTATATATATATATATATATATATATATATATATATATATATATATATATATATATATATGGCATTAGAACAAAAAAATACAAAATACACTTACGACATTTTAAAAACAGTATTAAAACCAATCTGTGGTATAGTTTATACTGTCACAATGGACAGCAAAATAAAACGCCAGTAAACACGCTCTAACTTCGAGGCTGTGATAAGACTTGAGCCAGTTAAGTCAGAATTCTTAAATATAGTATCTGTAAATCAAATTTAAACACAATGAAAAGTATGAATTAGGCCTAATATCAGTAAAGTAAATTTGAGGGAAAGAAAATGTAACCATATATTTAGAAAATACATAATTTCCGACATTATATCATGAGATTACCCATATTTCATATTTATTTAATAGTAGTTATTCTCGCTAAAGAAAATTTACTCAATTTTCAATTTAAACATGACCACTATATAATAAACATATATATTTAATAAATTAGGCACTAATCTTGCTGGTTTTAGCTCATTTTAGACTAAATTACTTAATTTAAAATTTATTGTCACTCAAAAATATGGTACGACACACCTGTCCATAACAACCATAGTTATATCACCCTTGTGTTTGAAGCTACTAAAAACCACAAATCCGGTTTAACTTTTTAACTAGCTATGCACAAGAGTTCCTCTCTAGTGATCATCAAATAGTGGTCACATGATTTTTTTTTTAAATTTGTTTGTCAAGATCTTATAAAAAAAAAATGGCTGTCTATAATTGATTTATTTTTTCATAGACTGATAAACCTAATAATGCTTTGATATGGAAATCAATTTTGTACTGTGGGAATTTATATTTAAAAAGTTCTAGTATTTTTAAATAAACCAACTATTAAATTTAGCCTTCATTCTCCAAGGCAAATTTTGAAATGCTTTTTGGGATATATAGCCCTGTTACCTATAGTTTGGTGCCAACCCCACCATTTTGCTTGTGATTAACATTTTTAAAAGTAACTAGAATACCCGTCATCCGTTGGATAACTGTGGGTTTCAGGGGTCATCCATCAAAAAACATCACGTATGTCACTCAGAGGCATAGCGACCCTTCCCGGCGCCCAGGGACAATTTTTCGATTTTAACCCCCCCCCCAAGATTTCGATTTTCAACCCCCCCTCAAACTTTTGATGTGCACCCCCCCCCCACTCAAACTTTTGATGTGCACCCCCCCCCCCCCCACTCAAACTTTTGATTTGAACCCCCCTCAACCTTTCAATTTATTTTTCCAAACCATTTTGGCGCCCCAACATATGTCGTCCCCCCCCCCCCCCCCGCCTCCCCCCTCCTCGCTACGCTACTGCAGTGTCACTTATCGTCACAAAAAAACAGACCCCACTTTCAAAAATTTGTTTTTTTATCTTTTAAAAACACCGAAAACACCGATTTCGGACTATCCCTTCATATACTGACTTCATAGGTGACCTACTCAACTCTACTTCACCTGCCCAGTGTCCCGCCAAGTCTCAGACAACACGTTTTTATCGTTTAAAAAACGATTCCAGCCGAGCATGTCTCTGACCACACTATCCTTTCATATGCTTAGGACAAAGAAACAGACAAACTCTACTTCACCAGCCCTGTATCCTGCCAAGTTCAGATAGGCAACTTTATTATTCACATCTAAAAAAAAAAAAATTGGAAAAAAAAAATCATTAACGAATTGGTCTTGAACCTGTACCACACGCATGAGAGCCGACCTCACTACCAAGTTAGCTATTTACTCGTGACATTACAAGTGAAGTTTTATACTATAATTTGAGTCTCCTTACGCGCATAGATCTAGATCTAACTCTAGTAGTAGTAACTTTCAAATTAAATTTTATCTTAAATTAGCCAAACAAAGATTTATATAAAATAAAGAAGGTCTGAAATTATCTAGATCTAGATAGAATTATCTAGATCTAGTCTAGATTCTACGACTCTTTTGCTTAAGTCTTCTTATGTTTAGTTTTTCTTGCTAGACCTAGAATCTAGATCTAATCATTAGCTACGCTTATAGGCCCGGAGCGAGCATTTCAAAATTACCATATTCCAAACAAAGATTTATATAAAATAATCAAGGTCTAAAATAGTTTAGTATATAGAAAATCATTATTATCTAAATCTAGATAGAAAATTATCTATATTTTAGATCTACGACTTAGCTATATCTAGAGTTTACGTCTATAATTTTGCACACTTAGCGGTATAGAAGCCGCGTATGAATCTAAAGTTATGCAAATAGGCATTTCCTAATTAGCATATTTCATAGCTATACAAACAAAGATTTATAAAAAAATAATAAAGGTCTAAAATAGTTTAGTATATAGAAACTCATTATTATCTAAATCTAGATAGAATTATCTATATTCTAGATCTACGACTGGTTTGCTAAAGTCTCGTTTTTTTTTTTGGATTGTATTTATAACTAATAAATCATTGATTTAACCTAGATTCTAGATCTCGAGTCTACAAATAACTTTCCTTCGACAGCTGATCTTTAGATCTAGAGAAATTTATTGTAAAACTAAATGAAAAAGACAGTTGAAAATTGATATAAGTGTTGGAACGTAATAAATACAGCAAACGGACGTATTGTTAAAGTTAAAGCCGACAGAAAATTAGCTTTAGAATGCGTTAAACATTGGAATGGGAACACAATCTTCTTCGATAGGCCGCCATTATCGATGTAAAAAAATAAACACATCAGGTGACGTCACTGTTTCCGCCGAGTCTAGTGGCTTTTCAAATCTTTTTTAAAAAAATGGGTTACTCTGCGTATGAATAAATCAATTAATTAATTAACGTCTTTAAATAAATTTGTGATCAACAGTCTGTCTGCATTAAAAAATTATTCTCTACCTGCATACTATTTTACAGCTTTCCAGATAGAGTCGAACATATCACAATTTTCGATCGGACAAACAAACAAATAAATATTCAAACATGTAAACAAACTTGACTTTTAGTAGTATATAGATTCATAGAAGGTCACTGGATTTTGGCCAAAATAAAGTCAGAAGTCATGCGTCCGGTAAGGACGCATTATTGTTAGCAACCGGCCCCGCCTCCAAGTTAGTGAGTAATACTATTTAATAGGCCTAATTAGGCTAATAAACCTGTTAAGCCAGGGGTCAGCAACCGTTTGAGACGGAAGAGCCAAAATTTAAATTTACAAAATTTCCCAGTTCATAAAGAGTCACTAACATTTTTATTTTAATATTTCTTTATTTGATTAGGATTAGGTATATAATAAATTTGATTTTTGATCTTAAATAAATAGCTTTAGAAATGAAATAGGCTAATATTTATTTATAAAAAAACATACACATGTTTCTCACAAAACGTATTAAAGTATTTTGGCTAACTCTGCTACGAAAAAATTAGTAGTCAAATAATATAACTATTGGACAATCTCAATCCACTTTAGAATTATTAGAACCAAATCATTTTCTTTCTTTACGGACATCACCAGCTTGGGGTCTCCCATTAGCCAGGCAGGCCTAAACACGACATACTCCGACTAACTGGCTTGGGTATCTGTTTGATTACCGTGGGGCTGGGCCTGGTGCCCAAGCGGCTTTCAGCTGTCTGTATGGCGTATACTCTCTACTCCACCTATTCTTACTGAGTGTTTTTATTCATTATTCTGTTTAAAGTTGTTTTTCATTACAGTAGATTGTAGATCTATTAATATGTTATATGAGTTTTGAAAATGAAATAATATAATTATAATTATTAATATTTGGGTATGGAACTGGAGAGCCGCATACGGACAGAAAAAGAGACGCGAGTTGCCGACCCGTCTGACTGTTACTGTTAGTTAAGCTAAATTATAAATTAATAATTGAGTTTGTTAAGCGATACAATTAGTCCTAGATCTAGGCTATATCTATTATTTTTATAATCTTAAATAATATTAAATATTATTAAATAATTTCAATTTTTTTTAGTCCAGCTAGACTCCTAGAATCTACATTTCATTACCTGACTCAATCAGCAAAATTCTGCAAACAACACAACAATTTTTTTTTAAGAAGTTAAAAACTAAAAAGTAATGATAATCGGATAAAGACTAAAGAATGAGAAGATGTTTTTCATATTAGGACTCAAATTATCACTTAATGTTCTCAAATACAATATGTATATTCAAATAAAATTGGATGCAAAACTAGAAGAAAAAATTAAAATACTTGTAAACCTCAATAAAAATTTGTCATCAATAGTCGGCCATGTTGATTTTTACTGCAGAATAGCTTACGTTCATTTGCGACAATCATATTAGATTTTTTCGCATTTTTCAACAACACTTTAATTATTGCTTTTCAAAAAAAAAAGAAAAACACAGAAATTGACAATCTGGGGGGGGGGGGGGCGGATTAATATTTCCGCGGGGGGTGGACACTGGTATATATTTTCTGTAGGCCTATAAATTATAAAAGGTTCGGTTATAACTAAACAAAACAATTATAAAAATGAACTTAAGATGTCGCTTTGAAGTAACGAAATTTTGATTTATTACGTAGAGACTGGTGACACTGAGACTTGTCCCTTAGAGAATGGCTACACTAAGACATGTCACCTAGATTCATGAGCTTTCCACTTAGTGACATAAGGCTTTAAATTAAACGACAGGTGACATCCAGGCTAGTCAATTACCTTTATGCGGACAGGCTTGGCGCTTGGATTCTGATAAAACTCTGACTTTTCAATTAGAAGCTGATTACACTAAAATTTGTCACCAGTGGTTCTTTCAGACATTTATCTCGGTAGGGTGCGATTTGCGTCTCGGGCTATCATGTGAGCGCTATGGTGCATTCGTTTGTTTTAAAGAGTGCGATAGGCTGTGAATAAAAAGGGTTACAATTGTCGTTCACTAAATCGAATCCAGGGCATCCTCCGACGCCCACACAGGGGGACTATTTGGCGCCCCGGGCTTTCCCGTGAGCGTTATGGTGCCTACGTTAGTTTTAGTGAGTACAATAGAATATGGATAAGATGGGGTATTAAAGTCATTTACTAATTAAGTTTAATCTGGCGGTTCTGCCGGCGCCCCTTCAGGGTGCGATTTGGCGCCAGGGCTATAGTGTGAGCACTATGCGTTTATGTTTGTATTTAAGTTTGTGTTTATGTTCTGCGTTATTATTTGCATTTAGGCTTGTATTTGCGTTGTGCTTGTATTTTTTTGCGTTAGTGTTAGCGTTTGTGTTTGTAATTTCGTTGGTGTTTTCTTTTTTGTCTGTATTTAATTGTGTCTTTGCTTATGTGTTTGAGTTTATGTTTGCGTTTTTTGCGTTTGCTTTTGTGTTTATGTTTCGGTTTGGGTTTGTGTTTGCGTTTGTGTTTGGATTTGTGTTTTTGTTTGTTTTGTGTTTCAGTTTTGGATTGTTTTTTTCGTTTGCGTTTGTGTTTGTTTTTGTGTTTTAGTTTTGGGCGGTTGTGGTTAGGGTTTATTCGAAAAATAATATATTTCATAAACTCCAGCAATGCCGGGTATATGCTGTTTGATAAACACACAAGCCATGGTCCTTTATAGATAGGTTTTTCACAGAGTCCAGTGCAGGGCCTGGCCGGGACGGCTAGTATATATATATATATATATATATATATATATACATATATATATATATATATATATATATATATATATATATATATATATACAGATAGAGACAGAGAGAGAAAGAGAGAGAGAGAGAGTTAAGAGGCCGGAGAGGGGTAACACCCGAACCTTCAGCACCGTGTGACACACGACCTCGCCCGCCAGTGGCTTTACATTGCCGTGGCAGCTGAATAACAAAGCATACGAACAAATAGTAAAATGAAACAAAGAATTCCCACAATTGTCGCGAGCATTGATCACAAACCTGCGATAAGAAACAAGCTTTTTGCAAGTACCAAATAAAAAACAATGGGAATTTATACCGTATGGACTGCTCACACTGTTCTTTCCAGGGACGACCGTATGAAGCCGACGAAAGCCTAATTAGCATTGTTATTATTTCTAGTACTAATTTATTGAGAAACTTCGTTAAGCTCGTCACGCTTGGTTGACTAAAAACACGCGCAAACTGGTCGTAATCACGCTGATCACACAGTAATCAATACATCAGGAATTGTTGGGAAAGAAAATAAAAGGATCGGTTTTTTAACGGACTTTTGAAACTTATTTTTGAAAGTCACAGCATTTCGCACACTTTGGAAAACGTATTGATCTCCCATTCGCATTACTAAAATACTGCTCAACACAAATGTAGATGCTTGTCATAATTTATATGCAAATTTCGTTGACGTAACCAGACGATTGTTTGTTTTTTGTGCGCATAACCGCAAGGAGCTCGGTGGTGAATACACAAAAAATAAAAAAGGCGTAGAAGAAAGATTGTTATTAGCAAATACTTATCAATTCTTAATTACATCAAGATATGATACAAATGCTTTATAACTATGCCTATTTTACAGTTGCTTTTTGATCTCAGGAAAATTTTTAGATAAGTGTAGAAACATTATATTATAGTCAAACGACACCAGTAGTAACTTGAACACATTTTCAGAAGGAATTGTACTGTACATTCTCAAGGTAGGACTTGTATAGTTACATTGTGAATTATTTCCTCTCAATTTTGCTTCGTGTGGTGACTTAATTTTACTCCGTCGCAATTAATTCTAATATAACATCTAATATTTCATAACGATTTTTAAACATTTCTCAGACCTTGTGGAATAAAAGCTACTGAAATGCATTGCACAGTGTGCTATCTACTTATTTGTTTTCTTTTTGGTGAGTAGACTTACACAAAAAAAACACATTCACAAAATAGAAAAGCAAATTATATATATATATATATATATATATATATATATATATATATATATATATATATATATATATAAATATATATATATATATATATATATATATATATATATATATATATATATATATATATATATATATATATATATAATACATATATGCTAGGATTGTTATTTTCGAATTTTAAAATTTTCATCCTGGCAACCCCCCCCCCCCCCATGGGCTTTAAATTTTGTGAAAAAAATATTTTGCTAAAACATTTTTCTGATCTGATTATATTTAGGGGTTTATTTCCAATTAATCTAGAATATATAAACCTTTAATCCCAATACATAGAAGTCCATGTGCGCACTTCTCTCTTTCTCTGTCCGTCACATTTTTTTTATCCGAAGCTTTGAGATCAGTATCTCAGCAATATGTAACTTAAAAATACCAACTTACGTTAAATAAAAAATAACATGGTGGTTGTACTAAACGGTATAAATGGTTTTTTTTATATACAGATGGAAATAAAAAAAAATAACAAGCTTTTTTGTAACAATGCACTAAAAAGGTGAAAATAAATGATATTGATGATAAATGATAATAATATAGTACTATTTTAATCCGTTTCTTCCAGGCGGAGCCGCCCCCCCCCCCCCTACCCGCCCCCGAATAAAGTCTACCGCCCCCCCCCCCCTCAACCGAACGAAATTGATTTTATATAGAAAATATATACTGTTAACAGTGTCCGCCCCCCCCCCGGAGAAAAATGTCTGGAAGAAACACTGATTTTAATAACCTAGGCTATAATTGATACCTTTACTATTATTTTGGAAGAGACCCTCGCTTTACTGTCCTTGAGATATTTTGCTTAGGAAATTTTGTCTGAGAACATTACAATTGTGTCACCTGTCATGGAAGTACAACAGCATCTCTCTCTCTCTCTCTCTTTCTCGCTCTCTCTCTACACATATATATATATATATATATATATATATATATATATATATATATATATATATATATATATATATATATATATATATATATATATATATATATATACATATATATATATATATATATATATATATACATATTATATATATATATATATATATATATATATATATATATATATATATATATATATATATATATATATATATATATATATATATATATATATATATATATTATGTATGGATACATACATATATCCATAAACACAATAATTAATTGCATTTGTTTACAAACAGTTACCGTCAGATCAATATCGAACATCCTATCAACGGGTGCCTTCAAATATGTTACAACACCAAATGTCACCGCACTCAGCGTTGGCACCGGATGGTCCTCCAGAACGCTCTCCGCATGCGCAGCGGCGTGCCTGAGGCAAAACCCATCCTGCCTGGCTTTCGTGTACAACTCCACGACCAAATCCTGCATTGAGGTGACCCTGGCTAAATCTTGCGCCAACTCCACGGCGGGTAAAATCTACATGCGTTCAGACGTGGATAACCAGATCCCTCCTTGTGTTCTACCCGTAGGTTTTCAGCTCTATTCCAACGGTAATATCACGGTCAACGCTAAGCTGGTGTCGACAAAGGTGAAGAGCTACAACGAATCAGCGACGCAGTGTACGCTGGAAGGATCTCGGCTGATAACAGTCACCAGCGTGGAGAAACTACAGGTAGTGGCGACCATAGCCAACAGTCTCCACGTGTGGGTGGGGTGCGATGATTTCGACGGGGATCATCACTTTAAATGGAACTTTGACGGCTCACCCGTGCCTGACAAGCTGATGGACACGCTGGCAACGTTCGAAAGAAACTACTCGTTCCCCAGTGGTAATTGTTGCAAGCTGCACCCCGTGGCGCCCCTTTATGTGCATGTCTCGCCTTGTATAGAATTGAACTACTACGTGTGTGAGATGTAGTGATCTGTGGCGTCACTAGGTCGGGTGTCACCCGAAGCTGTAACCTATTGTGTTACACCACAAGTTTATACAGCGGTGCTTTACATGTATTTGAATATAATTTCTTACAAATACGAATTCGAATCTCTTTTTAAAAAAATGCTTTTTAAAGATTTGATGTCACTCCCTAAAATTTTGTCACTCAATGCGTCCGCATTCGACACGCCTACTGACGCTACTAATAACAGTTACATCAGTACATTGAAATTATTACGGCACTGAAATGTAATAACAGCGTCAGTGATTAGCACCAGTTGTTTAGTGAATTGCAATGATTCTGCCTATCCAACGAACTACGTTTTTCACGCTATGCACGTACTGTTTCACCGATGACATAATTATAATTATTACATGAAGACCCATTTAGGTAGTTAAAGGAAAAATTACATTTACTTTTACTTATTTGACTTATTTGTGACTTATATGGATTGTTAAGTTTGCCAAGCATATGAAGTAAAAAT